CCGGATGAGTTTCCTGATGATCCTCCTGGAGACCAACTTCAAGATGGGGGCGAAGGTGGAAGTGTGGATGCGGAACCTGCCCTACGCACAATGTGGGCAGGGGGGGAGTCCAACCCCACTTCAAAGGCTTCAAAGAAGGCTATGGGGGCCCCAAATTCGCCAGCTTCTTCCACAACAGCCTCAACTTCAAGGGCACTGAAAGAATGTGATGGTTGTGGACTTTTGCAGCCGGATACCGAAGACTGCAACCTTTGTGGTGAATCTGCGAGATGGAGTTCCCCTTCACAGTCGGGCTTAGCATCTCTGGCTTTGCAGGCGTCTTCAACAGCGGGCTTGCATGGTGCTGGAACTACATCAATGCAGGTGTCTTCACCATCGGGCTTGCATGGTGCTGGAACTACATCAATGCAGGTGTCTTCACCATCGGGCTTGCATGGAGCTGGATCTACATCATTGCGGGTGTCTTCACAGTCGGGCTTGGATGGGCGGCCGGACCTCGACGATATGGATGCTCAATTTGGGCATGGTCCTGCAGGCGAACGGGCTTGGGAGTCTGTGGAGATCCACAACCTTGAGGATTTGGTGGACAGTGCTCATCGTGAACATTGGGGATGGAAAAAACTTTGGGAACAGGAACTCTCTAGAGAAGCTGTGGGGGCCGAGATCGGTTTGATCCATGGCCAATGGCTGCAGTTTTTGGAGGGCCAGGTGAAGAGCCTGGAGGAGGAGTTGGCACTGGTTAGCACTTCGACCTTGAACCAGGAGACCGCGAATTGCAGGATTGCAGCACTCTCCCAGGGTATGGATGCTATGGTGGATGATCTGGAGCCTCTGGACAAACCTGAGCAGGCTCGAGCGGTGCTACAAACCTATGCAGTGTCGCTGGCCGAAGTCAAGAAGGACATCAACTTGTGGAAGGAGCCGCTGCAGGCCGAGATGGAGGCTTTGGTGAGCTCTGGAACGATTCGCCGGGTGAAGGTGGATCAGTTGGTGCATGAGCCTGGCTACGACCGGATGGAGGTGGCACCAGCGAAGATTGTCCCGACGATCAAATCACCCTCGGGAAAGCGGAAGGCGAGAATCGTCATCTGCGGCAACATGGTGCATCCTGCTGAGCATGTGAAACCTTCACAACTTCCTGATGGTGGAGTTCATGGTTGTCATCGACCTCATGGAGCAGCATCACCGGCAGTGCAGAACCTCGGGGATGGGAATGACCCGAATGGGGATGGATCCGAAAGGCCTGGAGGTGGTGGACCGGCCGCTGCCGCAGATCTTTATGCGGGTGGTGTTGACTCTACGGCTCTGAGGTGTGTCCTGAGGAAGGCAGCAGGGGCTTCTTGGTCCTTGGCATCAACGGACGTGAGAGGGGCATTCCTATTGGCTCCCAGATCACAGACCCGACGGCAGCTTTTGGTGGTGGAGCCTCCGCGACTTTTGACCTCAACTGGCTTGGTCTCTGCGGAGGAACGTTGGATCTGTGACGGGGCCATGTATGGTTTAGATACCTCCCCAGCAGATTGGGCATCATTCAGGGACTGCCGCATGTCGTCCTTCCGATGGGAGACTCCAACTCACCGGTGCCACTTAGCGAGATCGCCAGAACCCAACATCTGGTCAATCATGGGGGTTTCCAAGACCAACTACCCGGAGGCAGTCATCAACGATGATGCTCATGCGGATCCTCTTGGCTTCCTCATTGTCTATGTGGATGACATCCTTTGTGCTGGACCTCGCCATGTGGTTGAAGCTTCTTTGTGCCGAATCCGGGATGAGTGGACGTGCTCGGAGGTGGAGTGGGTCAACGAGGTCAAATGGCTGAAGTTCTGTGGGATGCAGCTCAGATGGCAGGGAGACTCCTTGCTCTTGGGTCAGCCTGACTTTGCCCGCGAGCTTCTTGAACGACATGGTCCAGTTCCTGGTCGCCAAGTTCCACTTCCGAAGATTGACATGGCTCCGGATGTGGAGGATAACATTGACCCTGCGGATGTTCGCAGGTGCCAGCAGTTGCTGGGAGAACTCCTTTGGTTGAGTGGTCGAACCAGACCTGACCTTGCCTTCGCCGTATCGACCTTGAGCGGTTGGGTGACCAAGTGCCCCAAAAAGGTTCAGGAGCTGGGACGCTACTTGCTGGGCTACCTGCAGGCGACCTGGGAGTTTGTCTTGACTTACAAGAGCTGTTTGACAGATCAGGGGGAGCCAACAGATGAGCTGATGAAGCTCACCCTCCTGTCGGATGCTTCACATGCCCCACAGGGACTTCGTGGTTGCCAAGGCATATTGGCATTGTGGGGTGGCGCTCTGGTCCAATGGGAGAGCAAAAGGCAACCCTTTGCTGCTCTGAGCAGTACGGAGGCCGAGCTCATTGGATATGTGGATGCGCTGACGATGGGCGAGTCGCTTCAGGTGATCCTGAACATCCTGGAGCACAACGCCATGATCGACGATGGCCAGTTTGAGATCCGAGGCGACAACCTGTCCGGGATCCAATTGTTGTTGGCGCCTGATGGTCCTTGGCGCACACGCCACCTGAGGCTTAGAAGCTTCGTCCTGCGAGAGCGATTGGCTTCTCGTGAGTGGCATGTGGAGCATGTCCCTGGAGCAGAGCTGGCGGCCGACCTGTTGACGAAGCCTGTGGTGCTGCTGACTAGCTGGGAGTCGTTCCGTAGGACCTTAGGTTTGACCAAGTTTTCCATGCCGGATGAAACATCACGGCTTTGTCGCCTGGCTGAGGCGGTAGTTGCTCTTGGAGGATTGGTGCTCCAAAACGGAGCTAACCAGTTGGTGAAAACTGCTGGAGCTGTTAGCCTGTCGGCTCTCACGGCGTGGATGTGTTGTCATGAAGGGCTGGCATCTATGGCTAAACCAGTTGAAGAAAAAACCAAATCAAGACCAGCACAAGAACATGAAAAGAGGCCTAGGGAAAACGAACCAGGCCCTGCTAACCCTACTGAACCTACTTCCGACTGTAGCCTCACAGGCTCCCCAATCGTGCCTCGCCTTTGTGCTGTGCGTGGAGCCATGGCTGCTGGATCGTGGAGCGGTCCATGGGATGACGCAGAGTTCCAGAGCTTGCCGACGGGAAGCAGTGACCGCTGGCGCAGCTTGACTGGTGGGTGGTGGGTCAGGGTCCACGGTGGACTCCGATCCAGGCTGTACCACCCGGTGCACACAAGCACCCCTGTGAGGTGCGAGGACTTGGAGCCGGAAAGGACGACTGTGGTGTGGCATTGCACCGGTGGTCGACCCTGGACCCGGCAGGTGCACTGCGACCACTGGGGCTTTGGAAGCCAGCCTGTGCCAGGGGTTGGACAGTGGAAGGGCTTCACCTTCTTCAGGATCAAGGAGGGCAACCAGAGTGGGGCCAACAGCTCAGGGTTGCCCAGGATCCGACCTGATGTGGTGACCTGGAGCGATGAGGACCTACCACCGATGGTGAAGCAGGGTGGCATGTCAAGTGCTTACCCACCACCTGGGGCCAGAGAAAGCACCGAAGAAGAGGAGGCTGACCCAGGGGTTCCGTTTGAGCACGGGATGGTCCAACCTGGAAGAAAACCACCACCTCAGGCTTGGTTCCAGCGACAGAATATGCAGGGTTGGATGAACCGTATGGCCAAACCACCAGCAGTTCCAGTACACCATGCAATGCCAGGACCACCGGCAGCGGCTCCACCACCTCATGGGATGGCGGGATGGCTTCCAACTGGTCCGCCTCCTAGCAGTGCAGGGCAGGGTGGCCTGTCGAGTGCCGATCCACCGCCCGGGGCTGGAGCTGCACCGAAGCCGATGGCTGAGGGGTACTGCAGGCCAACTCATAAGTATGGCCGGTATCAGGCGCCTGCAGAAGCTGAAGGAGACCGTCCTCGTGGCCGACCTGGACCTGGACCTCGTGGAAGAGCTGCTATGGGCATTGGTGGGCCGATCGATGCTCGAGAGGAAGGCCGGATGACTTCGGCCGGATCTATGTCGATGGGAGCAGGACCTATGGGGGTCATCCCAACTGGAGCTGGAGATCGACCTGGTGAAAACCCGCTGCTGGCTTCTTTGAGGGTGGCAATGCGACCTCCAGAGCAGAACCCAGGTGGCTTGGCATCGTCGAGCTCTACGGTGATCCCGGGGGAGTGGGCCACACGAGGGGACCCGGGGCTGATTACCCCGCGGGGGTCCGTGGCTGGAGCATGGGCTAACCGGCCTACCTTGGTCGCCAAGGCCCTGGGCACTCCATACCAGGCCGAACGGCGATTGAATCCTCCCCCGGAGGGCTTGGAAGAGGCTGAAAGCTCCCTGGTGTCTGAGGAGGAGAACGTGGGCGCTGCTGAGACTCCCGAGAACGAGGAGGAGGACATGTAGCAGAGCTCCCCTTTTTTCTTTCTAAGACCAGCCAACGAAGCTTTGGTCTGGCATTTTGCTACGGCCACCGAAAAATGTTGCACCTGGCAACATTGGGGGAGTGTGGTGCCGTTTTCAAAGAATGACACGCACAAATCAAGAAGTGCTGTCTACTGTAGGACATGGGATGCAGTTTGGACGACCGTTCATAGCATGGCCCCTGCACAAGGATCTTACTGATTGCACATGGCTCAAGAAAAGGGCAGACTTTTGCACCTGCCTTTCGCAATGACAATTTGGGGATTAGGATAATAACTTGCCATAACTTGCCATTTACCACGAAATTACCCCCAAAGACCCCCCCAGATCTCTCTAAAGATCTCAGGCATCGCAGAGGTCAGTTGGTCCCCAGACATGTTTCATGGTGAGATCCCATCTGCAAATCTCAGGCCAATTCAAACCACATGTTTGTAAGGTAAAAACTCAGATTTTGTCTTTAAACCTCATTGAATCTTGTAAACATGTACCATGATTTATGATCTTCATCATTCATTTTCCCGGATTTCCCCCAAAAAATCATGAAGTATCAACAAGTTATAAAAGGTTATAAACACCATTGAGAAAACAGATGATCCCCCGACATTTCCGCCCCAGGCATCGTCGACCCCAACATGGGCGTCTCCACGGGCGCCTCACTGGTCCTGAGCGCCGCGCTGGGCTCGGGGGAAGCGCTGCCGGCCTGGCTGCACTTCGATCCCTCCAAGGGCGCCTTTTCGGGAACGCCACCGGTGCTGGAGGATGCCGGAGTCCGGGGGTGGAACATGTGGAAAACATGGGGATTTTTTGGGATTCTGTTGAGACTCAACAAATGGCATCCCTGAAGAAATGGCTGTTTTTTTTCTGACTTTCATGTTTTTTTTTTGAATGTTTTGATGATTTTTGGGACATTTGATCCCATAGCCCTATGAAACACCTCCCGGTGTTCCAGTACTCTTCTCCAACCTTTTCTGCATTGGCTGTTGTGTTCGAAGGCTCAGTGAATCTATTTGGCGGATATGGCAACCCTCTGCGGCCTTGGGTCTTGTGGTGTATGAGCATGGTGTGCAAGACTGGATACGCAGACATTGAGGCAGGAGATCCGTCGGCCGCCGGCACCTCCTCCGTGCCCAGGGTTCATTGACACGAACCAGGAACCTGAGGAGTTCCACATCACCGCAATGAGTGGCGCAAAGAATTCAGATGGTTTTCAACAAGATCACGCTGTTTTCGCGCGGAAAGAAGCCTCCTAAATTTGATCCCAAATGTGTAAATCTAAAGCATGGAATTTCTGGGAGGTGTTTAATAATAATATGAACGAACATGGGATAACAATGTGAACAGGTAGATATATGTATAGATATGTTAATAATGATTAATTTAATAATCTATATATTTTTTCATGATGTTTCTATGCTTATAATCCCATCCCCCTTATGAAACACACCCTATATAAATTTTCACAGAAATGGTCCCAAATATGTGCATATCACTGAAGTGGGAGGTGTTGAACATGTACGGGGGAAGGGATTACCTTTAAAAAACTAGTTTGAATGGGAGATGAACGGGAGATTCATGGGGATTTTGATGGATTTTGTGAATGTTTTGATGAGAATTCACCAATGAAATTGATGTTTTTGCGCAACACGAATAGAGCTTTTAATTTTTATTGGGAGTGCTTTGATGATTTTATCATGAGCAAGTGGTAGTTTCACCAATTGTTGCATTTTTCAAACACACCAATTTCCACACTTGGGGTATCATTGCCAGCACTGCAGGCTAACGTGGGACATTCCATCATGGTTTGGCTGAATTCTAAGGAAGTCACCATACATGCTACTCCCCAAATGAGGTTAATTCAGGTGGTTAGTTGTTGTAATTCACCCAGATATATTACATGGTTTATCAAACAAAACCACCCTGGCAAACATTGGCCAGCTGTGGTTTATCCCTGGAATTTACATGTTTTTCAGGCGTGCATGAAATCTGTATAGAGGGTTTTGGAACGTACTGTAGAATCGGAGAACTAACTGGAAGCCATGTGTCCCGCTGGTAGGACTTGCAATTAACTCTGCACGCGAGTGCCTTGGCTTTTGGTGAAGGACATGGAGTTTTCTATGGGACATCCCCAGGTGCATGTGGGAAGGTGCTGCTTTGATAGATGTTGATACACTGACAGTCATCATCATGTGGAAAGAAATTTGTGTACCTTCATAAACGGGGTTTGCGCAAAAAGAAGCTCCAATCCAATGGTTCTAGAAATGATGTCCCCCATTGATATTGCCACAGTAATGTGTCTGATTGGTGGTTTGGAACATGTTTTTTTTTATGATTTTCCATGATATATGGGAATAATAATGCCAACTGACGAACTCATATTTTTCAGAGGGTAGGCTCAACCACCAACCAGATGTGTAAAGATCCCATTTCTGGATAAACCCGAAATCGCTTTGATTTTTAATGGTTCCATGCGCTCCATGGTATAAAATCTTTAAGCCCTAAGAACGAGGCCATTGTCAATGTAGCTAAATCAATGGAACCTGTGGCTCGTCATGTGGTTGCTCTTCCTGCCCGGGGACTCAACGGTTCTCGAGATGGCTGGCCGCAGAGAAATCACTAAACCTTCCTAAAACCATAAACCATCATAAAACCCGAGAATCTTAAACCTCAAGCCCTGAATCACTGCATATAGCCACAGTATTAGCCACGGTGTTTTTTGCGCGAAATTTCTCCGAACCATGTTGACCCTGCGCAAAATCCTCCATGCATGTATATGTATTATACAATATTACATACTGTATATATTTGTATATTATATATACATTAAGTATACATGATCTATTATATAGTATAGTTATAGTGTAATATATATATATATTGTATCTTATAGTCTTTTTTTAAGACTATACATGTTGTTGTGTCAATACTTTCGAAACCAGATGTCATCGCCTCTCCGAGATCATCGGTGGGTGTTTTGAAAAATGGTCAGACGCAATGGTAAAATCGCCTCCGGTGTAAACGTTTACGTTTTACGAAGTGGAAAGAAAATCACCATGTCACCATGTTGAATGGGTGTTTGGTATATGATTATACCAATCAACCAGATATATATATATATATACACCCTTTGGTAAACGTTTAGTTTTTGACTTTGTCACTTTGTCAAACAAAGCTCAAGCCTACATATTATGGCGCTTTTTTCGACATTGACATCTCATATGAAGATGAATATTTTTTTCGGACGTGTCATTCATGCTATCCTCTGATAAACGTTTACATAACGAACTGGAAAGATCCACCATTTTTAATGGGCAAAACTCACTATTTCAATGGCCATTTTCAATAGCAAACTGTTAAAAAACTAACATAGCTATTGAAAATGGCCCATTGAAATAGTGGATTTACCTTTTAAAAATGGTGGATCTTTCCAGTTCGTTAGCGCCAGAATTTGAGCATTGGGAAACAAAAATAGCAATTCCATACAATTCTTTGGCTATCGCGTGGGTGGGAAAATCCCATTAAATCCAAATTTTGCATGGTAAAATTCCCTGAAAATTCGCAGATTTGCTAGGTCAATCCTACATGGATACTTTACTATAATCCTTTAGTCTTGCTAGGTATTAATGGGAATATCTACTAACCAGCAAAGAATTTATTTTTTTGCAGGGTATCTAAGATTGGCAATGTTTGTTCTAATGAATTCCACTGTTCCACGTCACTTCTCCCTCGTCTCAGGCGTAGGCATTTGGGGACCCGCCATCAACACCTCGCTTGCCCTCCACGTGTCGCCGGCGGTGAAAACGAAGACGACGTCGCAATCGAGGTTGCTGGCGCCCCCGCAGCTGCCAGTGTTCCGAGCACCGGAAGCTGGGGCGGTAACCATGAAAAATGAGGGTTTCAATGGTGATTGTTAAAGGGATTTCACCGTGAAATCATAGTTCATAGTGGTGAATCATTGATACCCGCAGAACCAGACGTTCGCCCATGCTCACATAATCTCCCATTTTTGCCACGGTGTTAACAGTTCTCTCATCCAAATCCACAGGGATTCCCTCCATTTTTCCATCATTTTTATCATTGGTTCCATGATGTCGCATTTTTCCCACGATGTACCCTATGCGTATATTGAATCAAAATGTGAGATATTACTTGTTATATGTTCTTCCGTCATGTTACATCATTACAGAATATATATATATGCCACCCCCCTCAAACAATACGTATAATGAATATATGTATGATATATTTTCTTCCATCATATTACATCATTACAGAAGGATATATACGTATATAGTTATATATATATATATGGCACCCCTCAAAACAATACATATAAATATCTTCCAATGGATATATTATTATGATATATAGTTCTTCCATCATATTACATCATTACAGAAGGATATATATATATATGCCACCGCTCAAAACAATACATATAAAGATCTTCCAATGGATATATTATTATGCTAGATTTTCTTCCTTCAAACGAAACATCATTGCAGAAGGATCTTAATCTGCCACCCTCTCCAGAAAAAAAACGTATATAAAGCTCTTCTAAATTCTTCTAATGGCTACCCTCTGGTAAACTAACATACACCCATGAAATTTAACAAAGCATAGATCAGCTCTGGCACCGACTCATTAACATAGCATCCGGTACCGTTGTGCGGCCTGGGGAAAAGGAGATAGGTAGATTTTGGGCCCGTTGTGCACCAACTCATAAACATAGCATCCGGCGCCGTTGTGGGAATAATTTGTGCATTCCCCAGGAAATGGAGATCAAAAACCTGCGATGGGTGCTAACCTGGCACCTGAAAGAGACTGACCTAGCTAGAATCCTGGAAGGCAGAAATGCTATGCTAGTTTTTTGTCTCCCCTGTGTATCTCCCCGGGGTGGTGATCCCAATGCAACGAGTCGGGGTGAGCAGCAGGTGAGCAGCAGCAGGTAAGCAGCAGCAAGCAGCAGCAAGGAGCAGCAAGGAGCAGTAAGCAGCAAGGAGCCAGATTGGCAACATCGACCAGGAGTTTTTTCCTTATTCAATCTATTATGTAAAACTGTTCGTTTTGAAGCTTTTTTGGGTCCAGTAAGGGTGAGCCCCAGGAAGACATGCAAAAGCAGTTGTGCCAGTCATGATTTTCAATCCAAACCAGAGTTTTGGCAACAGGATTGCTAACATAGCATTTGCCCAGGGTTCCCAAAACCTCCAATAGTAAATCACAATCATCATGGCAGCAAGTAGCCAGATTGGCAACATCGACCAGGAGTTTTTTCCTTATTCAAACTATTATGTAAAACTGTTCGTTTTGGAGCTTTTTTGGGTCCAGTAAGGGTGTGCCCCAAGAAGACATGCAAAAACAGTTGTGCCAGTCATGATTTTTGGCAACAGGATTGCTAACATAGCATTTGCCCAGGGTTCCCAAAACCTCCAATAGTACATCATAATCATCATGGCAGCAAGGAGCCAGATTGGCAACATCGACCAGGAGTTTTTCCCTTATTCAATCCTTTGAAGCTTTTTTGGGTCCAGTAAGGGTGAGCACCAGGAAGACATGCAAAAACAGTTGTGCCAGTCATGATTTTCAATCCAAACCAGAGTTTTGGCAACAGGAGTGCTAACATAGCATTTGCCCAGGGTTCCCAAAACCTCCAATAGTACATCATAACCATCATGGCAGCAAGGAGCTAGATTGGCAACATCGACCAAGGAGTTTTTTCCTTATTCAATCTATTATGTAAAACTGTTCGTTTTGAAACTTTTTTGGGTCCAGTAAGGGTGAGCCCCAGGAAGACATGCAAAAACAGTTGTGCCAGTCATGATTTTAAATCCAAACCAGAGTTTTGGCAACAGGATTGCTAACATAGCATTGGCCCAGGGTTCCCAAAACCTCCAATAGTACATCATAATCACCATGGCAGCAAGGAGCCAGATTGGCAACATCGACCAGGAGTTTTTTCCTTATTCAATCTATTATGTAAAACTGTCCGTTTTGAAGCTTTTTTTGGGTCCAGTAAGGGTGAGCCCCAGGAAGGCATGCAAAAACAGTTGTGCCAGTCATGATTTTCAATCCAAACCAGAGTTTTGGCAACAGGATTGCTAACATAGCATTTGCCCAGGGTTCCCAAAACCTCCAATAGTACATTATAATCATCATGGCAGCAAGTAGCCAGATTGGCAACATCGACCAGGAGTCTTTTCCTTATTCAATCTATTATGTAAAACTGTTCGTTTTGAAGCTTTTTTGGGTCCAGTAAGGGTGAGCCCCAGGAAGACATGCAAAAACAGTTGTGCCAGTCATGATTTTCAATCCAAACCAGAATTTTGGCAACAGGATTGCTAACATAGCATTTGCCCAGGGTTCCCAAAACTTCCAATAGTACATCATAATCATCATGGCAGCAAGGAGCCAGATTGGCAACATCGACCAGGAGTTTTCTCCTTATTCAATCTATTATGTAAAATTGTTCGTTTTGAAGCTGTTTTGGGTCCAGTAAGGGTGAGCCCCAGGAAGACATGCAAAAACAGTTGTGCCAGTCATGATTTTCAATCTAAACCAAAGTTTTGGCAACAGGATTGCTAACATAGCATTTGCCCAGGGTTCCCAAAACCTCCAATAGCACATCATAATCATCATGGCAGCAAGGAGCCAGATTGGCAACATCGACCAGGAGTTTTTTCCTTATTCACTCTATTATGTAAAATTGTTCGTTTTGAAGCTTTTTTGGGTCCAGTAAGAGTGAGCCCCAAGAAGACATGCAAAAGCAGTTGTGCCAGTCAAACATAGCACCTTCCATTTGGTGGTTCCAGCTTTGGAGTATTCGCCATGTTCCCAAACACAGCACGAACACTAACTTGACACTTTTGGGAATTTGTGCTGATGGAGGCGCGGCAGGTGTTAGGTTAGTATCAAAATCACCCCATGATTGCAAGATTTCAGCTGCTATGTTAGCGCTGTTCAACGGGAAATCCCGAACGCTAACGTAGCGGGATATTTTTTTTTTTGGCCCAGGTTAGATTTCACGAGAGTAACTATGGAAAATCACCATTTTTAATGGGAAAATCCACTATAAACGGTCATTTTCAATAGCTATGTAACAAATTACCAGAGGGTATATTTTATCATATCCAAAATACAAGTGATGTGCTTAAAGTTGGGGCCGCTTTCTCCGAGACAACCTGGGATGCGGAGGGATCCCAGAACAAGAGATTTACGTCAAGAACCCTTCCACGACTTCGGGGTCTGTTGAAAACTCAGGTCATTTTACCCGAAAACAAAGCATAGGCTCCGGGCAAATGTCCGGATTTGTACGCATTGATAGTATGACGATATAATATTGTGAATACCATCAAGAATGTGAATATCATCTAGAAATTGTTTTTAACAATTGATAAGTTAAAACACAAATCAACTAATAACACATGAATAGTGCCAAGTAATACATCAATATGACTTCATATGACTTTATCATTGAACCAAGTTGATCGTATCATCAATCAACTGTATAGCGCGATATCCTTATTACTGTATATAGCATTATATATCATATCATCATGATATAGCTATTCTATCCTCCTGATCTCCCGATATCCACCGGAGCTCAAGGATATGGATGTGCTGGTGCAGCACCACTTCTCTGCAGCGGCGCCCAAGATCCACCTCAACGGCGCCGCGCGCCCTCGCGCATCGTTGGATGGTCTCCTGGCTCCGCCGTGGTGACCATAGCGGTGATATACCATGGCCCCATGGCTATCCATGGCTATGTAAACTTACTGGTGCTTAGTAAAAAAAAAATCGGGAATGATCTATAATAACATATAATAACCACTAGTAATCATCCCAGCAACCCCCAGCAGCCCATCCATGCCCTACGTAAAACGCACCATGTTCATGTACACGTTTACCGCTAAGCAACAGTCGTCATAAAACCGTCCCAACGATGCACAGAATCCATAGTGAAAAACGTCGATTTTGTTGGTGATATAAATGGTGATATTTCATGGTGAATAAGTGTTTGATATTGGTTGATAATGGTGAATTAATGGTTATTATCCCATCCATGAAATGGTGATATTAAACCATTTTATTTTTATACCATGGTGATATTTCATGGTTGATTATGGTTATAATCCCATCCCCTGTTCATATTCAACAGCTCCCCCAGAAACCATGGTTTAGTAGTGGATGAAATATAACACATATTGGCATATTGGGACCAATATGAACGGGGGATGGGATTGTTCTTTTCATGATTTTTCATAGTTTCATTTCCATTTTTGGGATATCTCCAATTTTTTGGTCACGCCCATGTTTCATTTGATGTTAGGGGAACACTTGCAGGAAAGCATGCAAAATTTACCCCCACAAACAATGCGCGCTCGGCGCTCTAAATTGTCCCTTCACCCCATTCCAGAAAACCAAGATTTGAGACTGGAACATCTACAGGAAACCTCCATCATTGGCAAGGAACAAAGGATTTGAAACCTGTATCTGTCCCATCTATTTCATCTATACTTGATCTATATCTATTGAACCCCCATATATAGATGAATATATAAGTATATCACATTTGAAAAACCACATATTTCATTTATATCTATTTGAAACCACATTTCTTCTGTAGAACTAACATAGCTATTGAACATTGCCATTTAGTTCGTTGATCAACCTATATCAACAAAAAGGTGATCTTCCATCGTTGAACGTTGGGTAACACACCATTATTTCCCCATTGAATCTCATGAAAATCTGGTGAAATCACCACTAAAAGACCACACATCCCCACTAAACCACCATTAATTCCCATTAAATCACCATTAATTCCCGTTAAATCACCATTAATCCCCATTAAATTGCCATCAATTCCCACGAAATCACCATTTTTGATCCCTTCACCCCATCGCCGAGGCGAAGCGTTGCCATCTTGGCTGGCCTTCGACCCTGAAACGATGACCTTCAGCGGCCGACCCACTCAGGTCGACGATCTGAGCCCTGAGGATTTTTTGGACAGAAAGTGGTGGTTTCAGCAAGAAAAATAGCTGTTTTATGGATCAAAATAGATGTTTTTTTTAATGATTTTTTTATTGATTCTGTGGCTGAACATAGCTGGCTGTTTTATGGATTTCAAAATAGTTCGAACAGCAAAACCATAGGTATTTTGACAAGGAAAAGTAGTTTATGCAGGAAAAGCTGAGAGTTAAGATTATTAAATCAAGAAAGGGTTGGTGAAACGGTGAAACAGGGAAAATGGTGCTTGCCCCATCAAAAATTAGCATCAAACCATAAACTGGTGCGGGAACATTCCAAATGAGCTGTCAACCAACAAGATATGTGTCTGGGTGAAGATTCGTTAGTCTTTGAAAACCAGGTCAGTGTTAGTAGAATGTTTGCATCTTTGGATCTAATTTGACCCAAACAAAACTCAACTTTTGACCCCGCAACTGACAGATTGGCTTGTACTTTTTGGCACCATCCAACTTTCATCCAGTCTTTCAGCCCGAATATTGATACCATGCCCATGTCGCTTGACAAAATCATGGAATAGTAGGCACAGACCCTTTAATGTGACAGCAGACAGCATTGAAATTGGTCACCAAAAGCCCCAGCTCAAGGTGCCCAGAGGTGAAGGGAACATGACAACAGGCAGATATTAGAATGGTAAAACCATGGTTTCCTGTCACTTTTCCTATTATAAACTCTCATTACAGTATGTCCGTATGTCCATAGATTTCCCCATCATATACGGGAATTACATAGATATCCCCATCATATCCATTTTTCATAAATATTCTCATCATACTCATCATTGAAATCCTCATACCCATAGATATTGTCACTATATCCATAGATATTTTTTGTCATGTCCATAGATATTCCGAACATATCCAGAAGTATCTGGTTGGTGCCTTGGAACATTTTTCATTTTTTCCATATATTGGGAATGCCATCATCCCAACTGACGAACTCCATCATTTTTCAGAGGGTTTTTTGTCAACCACCAACCAGAAAATCCCATGAAAAATCACCATCAAATCCCTGACAAAAATCACCCAGAAACAATCCCCAATGCATCATTTTTCCCATGAAATCACCATACAATCCCCATCAAATCACCATCAAATTCTCCATCAAATCAGCCTCAAATCACCCTTCAATTCTCATAAGTCATCATGAAGTCATCATCAAGTCACCATTCAGTCCCTTGAAATCATCATGTACCATCTGGTAAACGTTTACATAACTGTGGAAATCCAGTATTTTTGAGGGCTAAATCAACGAACTAACTGGCCATGGTCAATAGCTCAGTTAGTTTACCAGAGGATATATCTCATTATCCCACTATTAACCCACTATTAATCCACTACCAGAGTGAAACCTTGCCATGTTTCAATACATTCAAAACACGATTCCGCACCGAGCCGCGAGGTGGGTGAGTTCCAAGTCTCCATCCGGGACACCTTGTCCGACCGCACCATGATGACCTTGCTGCTACGTGCCTGAGCGGCGAAGTTTTGGTGGCTCGCGGTTTTGGTCAGGGCGTTTTCAAAAAACGGGTCGGAGAATGATCCAATGTATCTGGGTAGATTATCATTAGCGAAATGATGATAGGAGAAAATCTATATTCAATCATATCTCCAGATCATAATCTCCAGATAGATAGGTAGTTAAATCTTGAAATATCTATCTGGAGATTATGATTCAATCTATCCTAGCGTGGATCTCCTAGAGAATGACTGCAGTTGGTGCTGACTGGAACATGGCTGGATTATTTTTATATTTTTCCATCATGGCTTGGGAATGTCATAATCCCAACTGACTTTCGTTGTCCATGATTTTTCAGAGGGCTTGTTTTACCACCAACCAGATTTCTACTGATTGCATGGAAATACCATCTGGTTATGACTAACATAGCCATGGAAAATCACCATTTTTAATAGGTAAACCATCTGGGTAGATTATATGTTGCGACCGAAGCCTGTTCTAACAGCTTGGAATCGTGGGACTGACAGAGAAATCATCCCCGGCCAAGCTTCGATTTGGTGAGCCATTTGGATCCCAAAAGATTGGATGTCGTTTGGTTCGAATCCCCATGAAAATTACACGAATGGTGAGATTTATAGATTTGAATCCCCAAGAAAAACTCAACTGACAGAAGTTTTGAGAGATGGTTCCACAAAATGTAATTTGATTTCATGGGAATGTCATGGACATGTATGGAAATATAATGGCATATATATACTGTAATAGCCAACAAGACTGTAAGTATATGAGCAATGTTCACAACCCGTCTTGGTTGATAATCAGTTTGGAGTATACTAACGTTGCTATATGACCAAGATATAGTGAAAGCATGTGAATATGTTCACTCTCCATGAGTGGAATCCCTGTGAACACTGCTCACATGGGTATTACTGTATTAGAATATGGTGTGACACATAACCCATGTGTATCAATATGTGTCAAATCAAACACTGTATTTGTTTTCATTTGGGCAGGTTTGACATGGTTCGAACAGACTATAATTAATGTTGATTAATCTTGATGGCATTGTGATTCAAGATGATTTGACATTATTTAACCACCATTTATTTAATATGGATTTGAAGCCTGTCAAGAGTCGGGCGAGAATGATCATCCCAGCCGCTGGAGAAACTGAACAGCCTCTTTCCCGCTGCATATTCTCGCTCCAATTACGCATACTGTCCCGACGCCTAATGGCAATTGTTGGAGATGATAAGGGATTGCTCGAACTGGCGATTCAGAGACTTGAGGGGCATATCTTCAATGCCATGAAAGAACTCATTGGTTTGGCGATTGAGTTCTTGCAGCGGCTGAGTGGCGAGATGGCAGTGACAAAAAAAAGGCTCTCACGAGCCTTGGGAGCTCTTCTGATGACACTGTGGTCTGGCGGCCAAGAACATAAACTTGGCAGCTGTATGCTCAGTTGCCCTGGATGCTCTTTCAAGGGGTCTCAGTCCCTTGAATATATAGCTGAATGATGGAGTTAACAGCTTTTAATGGCCGGATGTTAAGGTTGCTAATAAACTGGTTTTTTACCATCAACTATGGTGGTTTATCAGTTGTTTGATGGGCATGTTAGCAGTGTTTATTGTTTTTTTTTCGTAAGTTCAAACGACCTAAACAGAGGATCGATGGTTGGTTGATGAATGATTGGGTCCCGCCGTGCCATTAAAAACAACGCCATCTGTCGGAGTTGTGGCCTTGGCATCCATGGGCTGGGGATACCCCCATCGGTTTCTTACTGGTAAACATACAAAAAACGATGGAACATAACCATTTTTAATGGCTAAATCCACTGTAAATCAACATTTTTCCGCACCTGCCAGGTGAGGGTTGTTAGATTTTATCAGAGTTGTTCTTCTCCTTCTCCTTCTCCTCCTCCTCCTTCTCCTCCACCACCTCTGCCTCCGCTTCCATGTTCACTTCCGCCTTGCCAACTCTTCGCCAAGCTCTTCGCCAACTTCCGCACGCAGTGGGCACTGCTGGACCTCAACTGCAAGGGTCTGAGCGCACTGGGCACCGCTGGACCTCAACCTGGGACCTTCCGAGCTCAGTGAGCACCGCTGGACCTCAACCTGGGACCTCCGAGCTCAGTGAGCACCGCTGGACCTCAACCTGGGACCCTCCGAGCTCAGTGAGCACCGCTGGACCTCAACCTGGGACCCTCCGAGCTCAGTGAGCACCGCTGGCCCTCAACGGCCAGATAGAATGCCAGAAGATATGCCAGATAGAACGCCAGATAGAATGTCAGAAAGAATGCCAGAAGATATGCCAGATAAAGTGCCAGAATGTTTGCCAGATAGAATGCCAGAAGATATGCCAGATAGAATGCCAGAGGTAGTGCCAGATAAAATGTCAGAAAGAATGCCAGAAGGTATGCCAGATAAAGTGCTGAATGTTTGCCAGATAGAACGCCAGAAGATTCGCCAGATAGAATGTCAGAAGATATGCCAGAAGATATGCCAGATAGAGTGCCAGAAGATATGCCAGGTAGAATGGCAGAAGATATGCCAGATAGAATGCCAGAAGCTATGCCAGATAAAATGAAAGAAGATATGCCAGATAGAATGCCAGAAGGTATGCCAGATAGAATGTCAGATAGAATGCCAGAAGGTATGCCAGATAAAGTGCCAGAATGTTTGCCAGATAGAACGCCAGAAGATTTGCCAGATAGAATGTCAGAAGATATGCCAGAAGATATGCCAGATAGAGTGCCAGAAGATATGCCAGGTAGAATGGCAGAAGATATGCCAGATAGAATGCCAGAAGCTATGCCAGATAAAATGCCAGAAGATATGTCAGATAGAATGCCAGAAGATTTCCCCGTAACAAAACGTATAAATGTCATGGTGGGGATCACATGAAGTAAAGTAATTAATGGAACAATGTAAACTTACTGGTGCGTGCGTTTTACACCACGGGAATTTTCGGGAACGAACCCAGTCATCACTATCAACCACTATCAATCACTATAAATCACTATCAAGAATCATCCCAGAAACCCCCAGCAACCCATCCAGCAACCCTACGTAAAACGCACCAGTAAGTTTGTGACAATAAAAAACACATATGGCTCATTTAAACCTCAAGACAATCAGGTTGGACGAAATGAAACAATGTGACACAAAACATGTTCATCCATATTCACCATTGGGATTTGTCACTGGCTGCTGGTAATCATATTCCACTCTGAGATTCGACGAATTCAGAAAGTTATCCACCAGTTGATTCCAAATTGCCCTTCTGTATTCCATGTCAACATCAATTAGTCCAGTGGATGTGTTCAGGTCGCTATGTCCATCCAGGAATCCATTCCTTTCTCATACCATTCAGCGAAGTTGCCCCGATCATTTGATAAGTTATTGTTGAAACTGGGTAGAAACATGTAGAAGCATTAGTTGAAGGACTTACTCTGAAACAAAAAATTATACTTTAATGATGGCAAAATCACGTTGAACTGATGGTTCTTAGTTTCCTCGTTCTACTGAGCAATTGCTCTAATTGTTAGTTGATCAATTCACAAATACTGGTCAAAAGAATCTTGAAGCCCTTACTTATCTGGTTGGTGGTTTCAAACAGAGCTTTTATTTTCCATTTCATGTATGGGATAATCCTTCCCATTGACGAACTCATATTTTTCAAGATGGACATTGCACCACCAACCACTTATCTTTGGTCCGGATTTTCACTGGGAAACCTTTCCCCGCGGCCTTTCAAAGTGAACATCTAGGCGTTGTTACGTCACCGCTTAGCAGATGAAAAGGTCGCTTCCAATACTTTGGTCATTGACCTATTAGTTTTATCATGCTTTATCCTCCTATAAACCCTTGTGAACCAAATTGTAAGTCAACTTGGCTATCGTAAACGGGGCCTCTTTCCATCGCTGCAAGGCGCCAAACGTGCACCATCAAGCAGTGCAGAAGCGGCGGAGTTTGGTTCGCCTGAGCAAGCGATGGACAGTGTGAACACCGTAGGCATCTTGGCGGAAACTGATCCAACCTTGGATCCCGAGGACTTTAGATCAGACCCTGCCTAGAATGGAGTTGAACAGATTTCAGAGGATCCAATGACCCGGTTCCCAGGAGAACCCGGTTCCCAGGTTGATTTTCACCATATTTCATTAGTCAAACTGGAGCCATTTTAAAGTTCGGCTTCAGCGGTCAAGTTTGTGCATGAATCCAACAGATTGAAATGGCTTGCGCGATATGTTGCACCTGTTCCCTCCCAAAAATCGTGTGGCAGCTTGGGATTTGAAATGAGCAGCGTACTTGTTGGTTTCAAGCCTTTCTCGATTATTCACCAAAAGTGATGACAATTATCCTTGCCCTCTAGTATGTTTCAAGGAGTTTGAACCCACTGAACAGCCCAAAAAAATTGTTGATCGTGTCTGGGCCCATTCTGGAGGTGCAAACATGAATCGATTGTTATTGTTCATTGGTTTGACTGTATTGCAATGATATTGTTGGTGCATAATGGAGGCGCCAAACATCGCCATCAGATACAGTTTCCCAATGCAAACAGATCAGCCCACTCAACCAATCTTCTCGGATTCCACTTCTGGATGGTTAGATTCTCAAATGACATGATGGAGACGAAAAAACCGAAGTCATACATGACTGGTGGTCCTTGACTTCTCCGTGGTGAACGTGTTTGCAGCAGAATGGTGAAACGCCTCGGAGCTAGGAAACAATCAAGCAAACATTAAAAACAACTTCATATAATGAAGATAAGGACATACTTGACATAGGCAAATTTAGAAACCACCATATGTATATATATATGTATACATGTATATATTATATATATATTATATACATGGTGAGTATTACACATATATATATAATCATATGGTCAGGACGACAGTACTAATTTAAAGTCTTAATTATTGGACATGTTTCCTTTTTCGCAGCCATTTCCCAGGCGCGCAGAGCTGGGACAGTGCTTCATCATCGACGTTTTCAAGGTCCTTGGGCCCTCCAGTGGGCAACCCACACCCCTCGGGGCCCTTGATCCTTGGGATGGTTCCTGATCAAAGCGCAGCAGTTGCCTGGATTTGCTAAGTCGATTTTATGTTTTTTTTCCCGAGAAATACACTAAGTCACTCTTGGGGAATCGATTAAGGGAAGATGTTTTTAGATATTTTGAGGGTTGCTGAACTCCAAGGTTTCGAAACCATTTGGATTTCAGCTTCCAGAGGGTGTGACTACAGACACTGGTGTCAGTTTCACTGCATCTTTGGCGGATGGTTCGCCCTTACCAAGTTGGTTGAAGTTTGATGCCAAACAGAGGGCGTTCACAGGGACCCCGCCTCAGGAGATGGAACTTGGAATCTCTTTGAAGGGAAGCCGTTCATTCGGCGGATCTGCCAAGACGGGGTTCTTGCTGAAAGTTGGTTCGGGTGGCTCCAAGCCTTTTGTAGCAGGTCAGTTGCCTGGAATGACTGCCACAGCGGGCCAACTGTTCACAGGCGTAATTCCACGGTCTGTTATTTCAGATCCTGATGGTGACATTTTGACATTCAGTCTTTCTTCGGAAGAGGGCAAATTGCCAGATTGGCTTCACTTTGACCCCAACCTGATGATAGTGTCCGGGGTGCCTGACAAAGAGCAGCAGTTGGAACTTACTGTGACAGGAAAGGACAAAGACGGACACTTCGCCTCAACTCCATTGCAACTCCGAGTGCAAGAAGGTATCTTTCTCACATAGACTTAGACGGTTGCAAAGTCAGCCGCTTCGTCGAAAACGCATGGAACTGGGTCAAAGATGATATTGTATACGCTTGCTCTGGCCAAATAGAATGATGCATATAGATAGGCAAGTCTTCCATGGTGCCCCAACAATTCTTAGATGGCTGATTGGTGTTTTGCTACGGAATCAATGGATCAGAGGAAAAAAAACAACAACGTCAGCGTCCCAGAATTGAACGCACGAATTTCAGGAGCAGACTCTGTGGATTGTGTGGATTACCTTAAGATTATAGTCATCATATTATACCCTCTGGTAAACTGTCCCATAGCGAACTGGAAAGATAAAAACCGTTTTATAGCTGGGTAAATCCACTATTTCGACTGGGCCATTTTCAAGTTCGCAAACTGTAACAAATTACCAGAGGGTATATACCAATAATTCCCCATTAAATCATTCTAAAATCCCATTAAATCACTATATTTACGCTAGTTTCAGGTGAATTATTTTGACTCAGCCAGAACGGAAGATTTGCCAAGATTTGACCCAAAAAAGACCCACACGTTGAGCGCATGGGTTTCCGTTCATTTGCCCAGTTGATATAGTACAAATGTGACTTCAAATGTGCAAACATTCAGTAAAGTGTATATATATATTATAATTATATATATATAAGATACATTAAGACCTCACTGTGACCTCACTGGAATGATGGGTAGTAAGGGGTAGCCTTATTTCAGGTTAGTGAATTAAATTATTATGATTTACCTGGATTAGTTTTTGGCTGACTTTGGGAGATGGACAACTTTGAAGTGGCTCCATCCGGTGCATTTGTTGTTTTCAACGCAGCCGTATTGGCTCAGACATAGCTTTTGTATATGGGTTCATCGCCAGGTGAAGTTCAACGAATTCAGCTTCACTTCCAGCGTTCAGCTTGACAAACACACACACACAAAACAAACATCTAGTGGTGATAATAGATGCTGGAAAGTCAATCGAAAAAAGGCTGGTACACACTGGAAGGCTCTAAAACTCAACCAGTCTACTTGGCTGAAAGTTGAGAACCCGGTCACATCGAGATGGAACAGGTTTTAAATGCGCGTCTTCCTTCATGGCTTTGTTTTAACAGGATCCCACCCCTGGATTTTTCATCAGCTCCATAAATGGCGGATCTTCCAGATACTTCATGATACTTCAACTTCAACAACTTCGGAAATATCTAGCAACAGATGCATCTAGCATCATCTAGCATCATCTAGCAAATATCAAATAATCTTCGCAAACATATGTATATTATATATTATATATATATGGTATCTAAATGGATCTCAAATCACCATCCTACTCCTCCCCTCAGACACCCCGAAGCTCCGCCGATGCGGTGGCGCCTCGCAACGCTCCTTTTGCGCCTCGCGGACCTGGCGGAGCTGGCTCTGGGCTGGAGCTTCGACACAGACACGGTGTGGAACGACTGGTCCAGCCATCCACACGAGGACGAAGATGTTTCATGGATTTTACCATGGGTTTTACCATGGGTTTTACCATGGTGAAACCACCAACATGAGGATTCAACTATTCAACCCAACCAATCTTGAAATGGTAATCAATTAAATTGATACATGAATTGACGTAATACTTGTTGTTTGATGTATCAACAATTTGAAAGAACTTCTGTTTTTTCTTGTGATTTCCCCATGCTCTTGGGACTTGACAACCATTTGATATGCTTTCACGGACGCCAGATGAGAGAGTGCTAACACAAGTTAAGTGGTTGATCTACAATTACTATATATACTTCATACCTGCCACCATGCCAGCCCTTGATTCTTGTGCATTGGCGCAGTTCCAGTGACCATCAACAGACTATAATTTTATTTGATGGTCATTTCCTCAAATTTGTGGGTGTTTTTGGTTGATCCATTCCCGTCATCATCTCTTTGAACGGCATGTCCTTGGCTTCCCCAGCTACTGCGCCAGCCATGCGTAGGACCTCACGTCCAAGTGCTTCGACGCCACAAGAAGTGTCAGCACATGGACAGAGAGTCAAAGGACCTATTGCTGTGAGGCTACCGAGCGAGCGAACGGCGAGCGAACGGACAGCCACACTTTGTGAATCTTTGTGATACGAATTGGGGATGGAAATGGATGGAAATGGATGGAACAAGAAACTTCTATGTATATGGGAGGTTTGTCAGGAATGACTTTGAATAGCCTGAGTTTTCAGATGTGGTCGTGGTTGAGGGGCAGCCCCCGTTGTTATCGTGGTGATTACAAGTGGAATCTCTTCAAAATTGGGGATACTTAAGATACTTAATATTTACGATTGGTATCCCCAGCTACCAACCTTGGGAATTTATTTTTGTTGGGTCCCGGGTCAGCCTGTGTGTAAAATCACATGTTTGGTCAAAACCTCGTTCTTGATGGTCAAAGCCAGAGTGTTGCAAATCAAATCCAGATAAACTTGCTGAATTCCCCAAGTTTGTTTGTAAAATATGGTAAAATCCCATATTTCTTGCTGTAAAATCCTCATTTTTGTTGGTAAAATCCACATCTTTGTCGGGACTAGGGATGATCATCCGACAGGTCGTGGGTTATGGCTGCCACTCTCCGCGCCCGCGTACGCCGGAGCCGCCAACGCCCAAGCGTCTGCCGCATGATGCGGTGGAGCGGATCCAACTGCCTCCAGTGACCGTGCGGGTGGGCCAGAGATTTGAGGTGAAACTCGGCGAAAAATGGATGGTTAGTAATGGATAATCATATTATTATAAGTATATGATGATTATACATATGTATATATATATATTTATACAGTATATATGTAATGGATGTATACTTCAATAACTTGGGTCAAATTTTAGTGGACGGAGTTTTTCTGGGTGAACTCATGTGTTTTTGTCATGATGAAGTGAAGATACTTGAGGTCGTTGTTGGGTTTTGTGGTTGGGTGAAACCGCAGAACATGCCAACAAATATCTGAACATATATTACTATATATTACTATATATTACTATATATTACAAAATATTACAAAATATATTGCTATATATTACTATATATATCTATTACTATATATATATATATATTACTATATATATTACTCTATATATTACTATATTTATATTACTATATATATTACTCTATATATTGCTATATATATTACTCTATATTACTATATATTACTATATATGACTAAATATTACTATATATTACTATAAATGGCTATATATTACTATATATTACTATATATGACTAAATATTACTATATATGACTATATATGACTATATATTGCTATATATAACTATATATATGACTAAATATTACTATATATTACTATATATATTACTATATATTACTATATATGACTATATATATATATATTATATACTATATATGACTACATATGACTATATATTACTATCTATTACTATATATTACTATATATTACTATATATTTCTTTATATTACTATAGATATTACTATATAATACTATATTTTACTATATATGACTAAATATTACTATATATTACTATATATATTACTATGTATATTACTCTATATTACTATATATTACTATACATGACTAAATATTACTATATATTACTATAAATGACTATATATTACTATATATTACTATATATTACTATATACGACTAAATATTACTATATATGACTATATATGACTATATATGACTATATATTACTATATATATGACTAAATATTACTATATATTACTATATATATTACTTTATATTACTATATATGACCTTGTATATTATATACTATATATGACTACATATGACTATATATTACTATCTATTACTATATATTACTATTTATATTACTATATATTACTTTATATTACTATAGATATTACTATATAATACTATATTTTACTATATATGACTAAATATTACTATATATTACTATATATATATTACTATGTATTACTATCTATTACTACACATATATGAACATATAATAACATATATAATCACATATATTAGTATATCATAACAAATATCTGATATGAAAATGTGGTTGGTCATCATTGGTCCATCGTAGCTTCAAGGGATTTTAGCACCATGTTTTGATAGTTTTCACTTAGCATTTCGTGTCTTCACCTTCTCGGAGTTTCAGAGATTTTTCCACATTTTCTCAGTTCACCCTTCTTCGTTATATCCCCAGTTTGACAAAGTTGTTTTTTCCACCTATGCTCTCGTCATTTAACAACATAGCCATGGCAAATCACATGCTTTATATGGGTAAAACACCGAACTAAATGGGCCATCCATACTATAGCTATATGCTGAGTTACCAGAGTGTCCTCACCAGGATATTTTATCAAACCACATCAAACCCCCAAACATCAATATTGTTACTTATATAGCTATTTCATGTCCCATGATACACTATATATCCCATTATTGTTGGTTAAATGCGACCTCAGAAAGTAGCAAATTGTCGATATATATATATACACATGTATGTATACATATATATATATATATATATGTTTTTTTTTTGGCGGACCCCAACGCAATGACGTTGGAACCCCGTTTTCCATCATCTTCCCATATCATTAGGCCTAAAAAGTGCTACGACAAGCAGGTTCAGCACTGAAATAAATCTGCTCAAACGAAGCTGCAGGTGACTTATTTGGGTTTCTTTTGGAACTTGGAAGTAGATGTCTCATGATTTTCCCCATGATTTCCCTTATGATTGCTCATTAAATCCCACTAATTCCGACTTCTTCCTTGGGTTATCTCCAGATAAGTTATTATGATAAGTTTCCCCATCAGAAGACTTATTTCCCATCAGATCATTTTCCAAGTTGGTGATGATTCTTCTTTTTTTTCCCCTTGGGGGAAACCCCCAAAGGAAATTGGGAAGTCTTCCGCTCAGATTCTCCCGTTTTTTCCGGTGGCACTGGGACTGACCGAATTTACTGGTGCTAAATGTAGGGAGTGATGAAGCCATGGGATTATTCCCATAATAACTGGGGGTTACTGGGGTTATTATGGGGGAATGATTCACTGGCTAACTAATAAGCACCAGCAAGTTTTTATGGGATTATCATGGATAAATTATCATAGGGTAATGATCCACTGGCTAACTATGAATAATCCCAGCAACCCCCAGCAACCCATCCATCCATTCCCTACGTAAAACGCACCAGTTTAGGCCTGTGGGAACCTTCCTGGGCGTTGACGTGACGGTCACTGCGAACGGTGAAGCCATGGGAGGCTGGCTCCACTTCGATGGACGGAACCTCGGAGATGGAACTGAACAATGATTACCCTCTGGTAAACATACAGAAAACTATGGAAAATCACAATTTTTAATGGGAAAACTATGGAAAGATCCACCATTTTATAGCTGGGAAAATCCACGAACTAAATCACCATTTTCAATAGTCATGTTACAAATTACCAGAGGGTAAATTTATGGTTGAATAATGGGGAATATGGATCATATATGGATAATATATGGATAACATACGGGGAATGTGCGTGGTTCATAATGGGAATATGTAGAAACATGTATGGAAATATGGAGAAAAAATGGCACAGAGTATATAGAGGGGGTAAAACCAAGAATAAATCAAACGACAGGCCACACAACTACCATGACTGGGGATGGTTGAAAAACCACCCATCTATGGTAATATTCAGGATGGTTTATGGCAATTGGTTTGAGGCATTGGGTTTACCACACTATGGGATAGTGATCCCCAAACAAGATGAATATTACTATATCTGCGGTAAGTAGGATGTTGTTTTTCTTTTTTGTTTGGGGGGGTGCTAATAAATACTCAAAACGAAAGTGAAGGAATTATCCATTGAATTATAATTTGCCCAAATGATGTTGGTACAGTAATCCATCATAGCTGGGATGATCAGATGATCAAAACGTTGAAAGCCGTCACCACGGCCCAATTGTCGCTTACCAGATGGTCGAAACCATGAGATCCAGACAGCTATCAGACTGTTGGTTTCGGACTAGATGTACTATGATTTACGATAGGAATATGGTAGATAACTTCGATAACAGATATGATATGCTAGAACATTTTAGTTAGAACTAAATCTAGTTCTTATACATGATGCAAGATAACACGTTAGAACTAAATCTAGTTAGATGACGTTTGATGATGGATATCCAGGTGATATCCTCTACTTTAGGAAATCACCCAATCAATGGGAATTTCAGGATCTTAAAATGGAGGTACGTTAGTACCATATTGTTGGCCAAAAAAATGTGCGGAGATTCCCTGAAATTTAGTTTTTTTTTTGGTAGGTATATTTTTGGTACCTCCAAAACGATATGGTATATGTATCTATATGGTATATATATATATATATGTATATTATATGGTCAAATGGTATATATCTATATATAAGTACAACATGTTGAAATATAGGCTTTAACTTTATATATATATAGGTATCTCCAGATCCTCCCAGGCATGGCGCCCTCCACGGCGAAGCCCTGGCCACGGGCACCTGGCGCGTGGTGCTGCGGCCGGCGCTCGAGCCCGGACGGCCGCGCGGCAGCGCGCAACTGGAGCTCTTCGTTGTAGGCGGAGTTGGAGAATTCATCTGGGTAAATTATAACGACCTCACTGCGACCTCACTGGAATCATGGTCAATAAGGGAAATCATCCCCAAATGGCCTTAATTCAGGTTAGTGAATTATTCTAATTTACCCACATCACTTTTTTTTAATTGGTAAATCCTGGGCCAGTTTCAATAGCAAACTGTTAGTTTACCAGAGGGTAGTTTTTCAGGGGAAATCTACAGGAAAATCATGGTGAAAACCCCATCAAATATTGTCAGACCATGGTTTTCTCATGGATGATGTGGGGTGATGTGGAAACAGACGAAGACTGATGTGGCTATGCGTTTTTTTGGTTTCAGCATCTCATTTTTTTGTCTTCTTGTTGAGTTGATAGACAATAAAAAACAAAAACATAACGTGATATGATGCCATTGGTGTCCTATCGGTTGGTTGATGAAAAAGGAGGGGTGCCTCCCATTTTTCCAGAAACATTCTTTATTGAGTGATGGTAGACTGTATGACAAACAGACAATGAATCATGTTCGGCAAAAGGACATCATTCATAGGTATATGTATATTGATGGTAGATTGTATGACAAAAGGATACTGAATCATGTTGGGCAAAAGAACATTATTGATGGGTACAGTACATGTATAGAGACACAAATCAATACGTGTGGATTGAATTGTATATATATATAATTAATTATATATGTATATATCAATATATGTCTGTGCACACGTATTTTGGATAAATATAAATATCTCACTAAAACGTCACGGAATTATGTTTACGATTGAATTCATGTTAGAAAAATCTCATTGGGTTCTTGTTGGATGGCTTGAAGTATCCTCCGGTAGTCAGGCGTGGCAATGGAAAATCATCCATTTACAGACGATGACTTTCGCAGCAGCAAACAACTCCATTTGTTTGGGATTTCCCATTGCCACACTTGATTGCCAGAGGGTCAATCCTGTTGAACAGTCGATTCAATATGCATTATCATCAATGATTCATCAATATTAAGTCTTAAGTATCATTTTCGCATTAAATCCCATTATATAACTCATTATTCAATCAGCATGTTTCCCAGAAACAAATACCGTGAAATCCCATGAAATCCCCATGATTTCCCATAAAAAATCCCATGAGATGCCCAATGATGGTGAAATCACCATGAAATCGCCATGAAATCACCATTTAGTCACCATTGAATCCCATGAAAAATCCCATCTGATTGGTGGTTTGGAACCATGGAATTTTATGACTTTCCATTCAGTTGGGAATAATAAACCCAACTGACTTTCATATTTTTCAGAGGGGTAGGTCAACCACCAACCAACCATAATTTCCTATTAAATCCTATTAAACCACCATAAAATCACCATATAAATCAGCCGCCAGCAGCCCGCCAGACGACAGAACACCGGTGACCCAGCAGGGTATTTTAGCGCCAGTCTCCTTTCAGCCGTTGCTGGTGCAGCATATCCCAGATATGCAGGCGGTGGTAGGTGCGGGGATGCGAAAGGGCTGGGAACATGGGAATATCACGATGATTTCGTGGGGATGTAATGCGATTTAACATGATTTAACCATCAATTTAATGTCGGTAATGGGACTTAATATGGTATTCAATGGGAACATAGAGGGAATATAATGGGAAGATAATCCACGATGGAGTATAGAATAACCAACAACAACTTGCCAGGTGAGGGTCTAGATTTTATCAAAGTTACTTCCTCCCTCCCTCCTACTCCTTCCCTCCTTCCCCCAACAGCGAAATCCAGATCTTGGGCACTGAACTCCAGATGTCAGCGGGGCCGGACCTCAGCCAGACGCCAGAGAGAATGTCAGATAGAATGCCAGAATTTATTTGCCATATATACTTCCAGATGCTGTGTCAGAAACTATGTCAGAAATAGTGTTTCAGGGTGGGGATCACTCGAAGAAAGCAACTTTGGTATGTCTAAACCTATATTTTACCTCCCAATGGGCTATCTCATAAACTAGGGATAGTGAAGATTCATCAATGGATTGATCGGGTTTTCCCTAAAGTGTCAGACAAACTCATGGCGTTTCCACTCGTGGGGACGAGTGGACGGGTGATCCCTGCAAGTCTGGTGGCAGGATAGGGACCAGGAAGTTCTAGGCGTGACCCTACCATGATTTTACATCAGTTTAGGTCCAGCAAGAATTCATTTGAGCCGCTCTAAAAACCTCCCTTTACATTTTCGGTAAGGGCCTTGTCATAACGCGTTTGGCGTAAGCAAAACCCTCACTTGCGTAAGGCCGCGTAAGGCCATTTGCTTCGAGTAAGGAAAAACTCTACGCGCGTAAGCATGGCGGAAGCTTTGGCGTACCCAAAATGATATGACATAGGGAGTGATTGAAGGTTTTCAGAATGGCTCATTTGTATACACTCGTGGCATATCATATCATTTCTGGACATGTTCCAGCCATCTAGCATGGAGATTTTAAAAGAAACTTACAGTATATAGTTGAAAGAAAACTAGTAATAATTAGTAATTAATATTGGATTACCAGAAAGAAAATGGAAAACATGCACACACATTTGCTACCTGGTGTCAACCTAATCGCTGACTTTTGTTAGGAAGTACACCAGATTGTTGATTGGAAATGATTTGGGTCAAGTTCCACTAGCAGGAGTGACAGTTACCCCGATGGTGGATACTTTGGCTCTATAGCACTCCCAAAAAAATGTTGCAGAGAAGGTTAAAGACACCGCTACAATAGTGGTTCACTGAACATTTTGCGGGCTTACTCTACCCGAAAATTCCCATGGATGCTAATCGGCGTCACCTTTGGGCCTGCAGTCCAGAGATCTGTTTGTACCAGTGCAGCACCAGGTCAAGAATTCAAATCAACGATTCCAGCAGGTAGCAGCTTGTCACAACATTTCTCATGGATTCGTCCTTGATTCCCCCGTAAGTTGCTCTGGCCATGAATAGCCTCAATTCATAAAGCTATAATGATCTATAGACCATGGATGATGCTTAGTATAGGGAATCATCCCAAAATAGCCTCACTTCAGGCGAGTGAATTAATGTCAACCCCGGATTAATAAACCATGGTTTATTAATTAGGGGGTATTCCCCCAATAGTCATGATTTGATACTTCAATGGTACCCTCCCAATTAAACAGCCGTTTGGGGTTTATTAATCCAGGGTTGACATTGTTAAAGTAGGGATAGTTTTTCAAGTCCATCCAGAGGGCAGGCCCCACCTTAGTCATCACCCTAAAGCCAAGAGAGGTCTCAACTCAACGCTCGGGTGGAACTTCTCATATACCGCATCTGTTTGGTTGGTGGTTTGGAACATGTTTTATTTTCCATAATATATGGGATGTAATCCTTTCCATTGACTCATATTTAGGGGTAGGTCAACCACCAACCTGCTGTGTTTGGGTGAAGATATGGGTAATCCAAATTGTCAATATTCATCAGATGCATCCCCCGATGTCTATTCCATGTTGTGGGAGACCCCAAGTCTGGTCATTTTTGGATGCTTGTTGGTCCAACCCATTTGTGGGTGAAATAACTCGTGGAAACGAATGACACCCCGAATTTCTGTGGATATCATTGTTGTTTCCTCTTTTTACCCCATGATATTTCGATAAAACGTTGTCTTTGCATATGTTTGGATGAATCCCATATTTGGGAATCTCAGGCAAAAAATCCATATATAGCTGATCACAGTCAACTATCCCCCGTGGTTGGTTTTATCATCATTTCCTCATGAACCTGTGATATTTTGGTGGCAAATCCATGCAAATCCCTCATTTTTGAGGCCCCGAACTTGTCAAAGCTCCTGGGTCATAGCTGACCATATTTAGTTAAGGCGATTATCACCTTGTCCTTGCTTAAAATGGTTTACACCCTTGTGTTTGATGCATGTTTGGTAAGGTCATAATCCTATATGTTTCAAAAAAACTGCAAGATTAATCCTTTCAAAAAAAACAGCAAGATTTGATCATAGAGCCAATGTTAATATGCACCAACTTGAACTCAGTATTTTACAGTATGTGAACTCCATTCACTGTTCATCAGGATTCAACCATATCCAAAGGTGACCCCCCAAAGAAGATATGGCTTATCAACAGCCATAGTTATAAAGTTTGCAACAATCTTTCACAGATATACCATGAAATCGAAGCACTAGAGAAATTGACCATTCAAATCCATTCAACCATAGTTTCATCACATTCTCTTGGATTCCCCAAACTATGAAGTATAAACATGTATAAACAGCATTTATCAATAATATTCCTAGTTTGTTTGCTTGAAACTCCCTTTTTTTGATCTCCACGTGTGTTTTTCCTTCATATTCCTAGTCTATCCATGTTATCCCATAGATTCCAATTGTACTCCCATCACATTCACATTTATATTCAACTGGATGGATATACCCATGTTTCCAACCATAGTTGGCCTAGTTTTATACAACTTACCATTTCTTCTGGGGATCTCGTATTAAGTATTAATTAAAAACTATAGTCACCATGCTGTATAAGCACTATTTTTCAATGATATGCTTATTTTTCCCTGTAATTATTAAGCATATAAATCAATATATGTAAAGACAATTTTCCAACGATATCCCCATATTTGTCCTAGATTTCCCCTATATGTTTAATGCTTTTCTCCCCTTTTCACCGTGAACTCCACCTGTTTTTCCCAGGCATCGTGGACCCCAACCTGGGCGTCTCCAGGGGCACCTCGCTGATTCTGAGCGCTGCATTGAGCTCGGGCGACGCGCTGCCGGGCTGGCTGCACTTCGAGCCGCTGAGGGCGGCCTTTTGGGGCACGCCGCCCTATGTGGAGGATGCTGGGCAACAACATGGCTAGGTTTTATGAGTGGACTATATCTATGTATGTATATATATATATATATATGTAATACCTGGAGTCTCCACTACCCTTCGTTTCGGGGTCGTTTGCAAAACACCTCTTTTTTGGGTACGTTTGATACTTTTTGGGGTTGTTTCATGCAAAAAAGGCCTTTTATATTCCAAGCAGGTGCTGGCTATATACACTAAGCATTACCAAGCCAAATCATGTGAGGGTCTTGTGCTTGTCCTGTCTGATGTTGGATCAGGCATCCTCACACATCATTCAGACTCAGGTGCATGACTAAAACTTCTTGGCTGAACAACTTTGGATCCACATATAAAACATTCGCCTGCTTTTTACAATGAGCTGCGGGGGCAAACATTTGCACATTGCGACACTTATGCAGAATATACACGGAGTTTGAGCACATCCACTCGCCCTGATCTTGTGGTGCCAGCTGCTGAAACAGTTTTGACGGATGGACGGATGGACGTGGGAAAAAAGGTGCGTTTTAAAAAAACACACATTTTGGCTCGGACGGGCCCAAACTGGACGGATGCTTCCGAACTTTGGACGCATTTTTCCGTACTTTCGGGCACCGTCCGGACGGCCCTCAGCCAAAAAAGGTACGTTTGAAGTTTGAAGGAAAAAAAGGCCTTTGCATGTTTGCATTGTGTGGGCAAATCTTCCGAGGACAATTTGTCACCAAAATTGAGCAATACACCCGAATGTCCGCAACTGAGTGTTGAGAGCTACCCTCATGCGTGCAGAAATGAAAGAGCAAAGCACGGCCAAAAATCAAAGCAAGGAAGATCGAAACGATGGCATCAAACATGTAAACGAGAACCAATACTTTGGAAATCTTAGGTCCTGTACCTTCAATCAACCAAAATCAAAATGGCACCTGCAACAATGACTTGCAAGTTGGCAATGTGGCACATTTATTTGATTTCGACAGTTTCAGCTGTACCTCCATGAGGGAACATCACTAACGTGCAAAAAAAGTATTATTTAAAAAAAAACTTTCTGAAAAAATGTCATTTTTCTTGAAAGACCCAAAAAATTAAGGGTCGTTGGAGAGTCAAGGTATATACATATATGCATGGCTAGATCTATCTATGGTATAAACTAGACCATATTTATAGTTTCTGGTAAATTAGCATAGACCCAGAAAAAAACAATGCTCAATGGAAACTAATCTTCCAATCCCTTTCTGGCAGAGTCTATGTTAATTTACTGGAGGGTATATAAATATATATACACGCACAATAAGAATATTCTTATTTTGATGTATCATGGATTTAAATGTATGTACATGCGTGTGAACAGCCTAAACGTGTTTTATTTGTAGTTGAAACTATTGTTTGAGTAAAGTTTGATGTATACATATTTAGACAACTTGTATAGAATGTACAGAGACTGCATGTACAATGTATATGTTTATATATATATATTTATACCGTATATATATATAGTCCATTGTATCTCATGACATACATATATAGTTATATTACATGTGTTGTTGAAAAACTGTTTCTATACATATGTATATGTGTATTGTATTTATAGGTCAATTTGTTCCCAATGATATAGAACCGTTCTTTTCATGGTAAGTCAGTGCGGTTGGTGATTTCTGTGGGTTTAACATGTGGATTTTTCATTTTGCACCATGGTGAATCAACTGATGATTGAAGCCACAGAGCCAACTATTTTGATGAGTGGTAAGACATCGGTGATGTCGGAAAGGGAAACTCGCCAATTGAAATATATTCACAACAAGAAATCGTTTTGGGGATATATTTAGGGAACATATATGATATATTTAAAAACATATTTAGGGCCATTTGTTTTAGATATAGCATAATATATTGAAAAGGATGCGGGTAGCTAATGTGCTATGTCAACAAAGGTTGACGGGTTTGGTAGCTTGTGTGTTTGCGCGATATTGTAAGTATGTGTTACTTTCGATGCAGGAACGATGTAGCAATGCACACAGATAAGTTTTTATATGTTGGTGGCAAAGCGTTCAAGTCCCTATATAGGGATCTAGCGAATCTAGTTGCCATTAAATCTTCTGGGAAGGGTCAAAACCTTTTATTGCCATGTTGTGTGATTAAACATTCATTAGCCATCTATGACGTAGGATACCTATAGCACCAGGTGTTTGACTCAAATATATATATATATATTAAATATATATATATATATTATACATATTTTTTAAATACTATTCCATGATACTATATACATATATACATAGATACCATTATATTTGGATATATACCATTATATATTAGATATCTATATCTATGTGTATATATTGTTGTACACATATACAGTCTTATTCTGGCCCCCCTTCTGGTAGTTTTATTTGTGGAATCCACACACAATGGCCTTGCAGAATATTTGACTCTTGAGCACGGCCTTGCATACATCTCGCCATCTATTTGTAGATCGATGGATATATCTATTTTTACGTTTGCATACAATTTTGAATTTTACACACCCTGCCAAAAAAATCGTCCCTGTGGAAGCCACCATTTTTGGTTTAGCACCTCAATCCTCACTAAAAACCGGTGAGCCTCGTTGCCTTAGGATCTGCAATTGGCACTGCGCGCAAGTGCCTTGGCCTCTGATTGAGGAGAACGTCCAAGCGGATTACAGAATCTGGCCATATTACTGGTTCTTCTCAGCTACTCTCATGACTGAAGTACTTTTGCCGATTATCAGTTCTAGAATCATATCGGCCAGAGGCCCACTGGACTGCCAACCATTGATATTTTACGTGTGGGTTTGTCCAAAATGGCGATTTTGCATCGTGGCTCCCTCTTGGACATTCATGATGATATGCCATGGCAACGGGGCTCCAAGTCTGAAAGAAACTCGCATGTTCATTTCTTTAAGTGACATCCATCTCCATCTCCATTATCATCATCATCACCACCATCATCACCATCAACATCTTCATATTCATATTCATCTTCATCTTCATCTTCATCATCACCGTCCTCATCCTCATCCTCCTCCTCATCATCATCAACAACCACAAACGAACATGATGCAACACACCAAAAGGAAACCACCAGCAGCTCTTTGTTAACATGAATCATGTTTATTTCCCAGGTTTGACCAAATACACATGCCGACACAAATCACTTGCTGTCGATATACACACTATCCCTGCATCCCAACTAGATCGGAACAAGCCTCTAGTTACCCTCTGGTCATTCAACATAGCTATTGAAAATTGCCCTTGTATTACAGATGAGAAACATAATGATTTCCCCCCTAGCAATTGGTAATTTTCCAGTTTGCAAACCGTTGAATTTCCAGAGGGTATGTATATATATATATCATTATTTCCCATTATAATCTCATTAAAACATTTAAACACATAGGTAAGTCGTTTTTTTAATCATATACATTAATTATATATATATTAAATATATATATATATATATCACCAGAAGACATATCCCAGCCATATCCCACGGGAATCCGACACCGATTCCTGAGGCATTGGTCTTTGGGGCCCTGCCATTCGCACCACGCTGACCCTCCACGTGCTCCCAGCACCCACGGCATCGGCGCCATGGAAGTTGCTGGCGTCGCCACAGCTGCCCGTGTTTCGAGCGCCGGATGCTGGGGCGAAGTGGTCTTCCCAGGGGCTTCTTTTAAACAGAAAACTCTTGTTGAATAGCCAAACATCTGAGGTCAAAAAAAAACAACATTAATGGAAACACCAATATGTTTGGTTTGTTGGACCTTGAGTCGCAACCTTTTCTTGCATCCGATTTCCTGGTTTGAGACAACAACTTGGTTTGGGGTACCTTTGTCAGTCGGCACAACTGAGGCGGCATTGATAATGTCATAGTGTGTCATCTTGCTGCCTCTCTAAGATGTCAAATGATGCATTTATTTCAAAGACATCTTGTTTTTGAAAACATGGCTATGATGGAAATTCCCCAGAAATATGGAGAAAAAACTATGAAACGATCCATCATTTTATGACCCGTCCCGTCCATGTTTTTCAATCATGGATATCTTGTTGCAAATCGCAGAAGATTATCGTAGATAATGTCCGAGGGAAGGCGCGGGCTTTCTATATCGATGTGTTTCCTATGACTGGTGGAGGGCACAACCGGCATAACCGAATGCAGAGTAACTACACTGTAGACACTGTAGAATATGGGTTTATCATGGTTTATCTGGAAATAGGATACCCGAAAATCCATCGACTACGCATCATTATATAAGATTATATAAGTACAGTTGCATTCTGTGGTATAGCCCATGCTCAGACAAACCATGACAAACCCAAATCATGAATGGTTCATGTTGACTCTATATCTCGAACTTACATCCCCTTCAAACAACAATTACATACAAATCATCAACTGTTGAGTTTTTGCACGATATCAGATATATCCCCATTGTCTATCTACCGGTAGTCTATCCCCATTACCCTCTGGTAAACTAACAGTTTGCTATGGAAAATGGCCCATAGAAATAGATGTTTTACCGAACTTAAAAATGGTGATTTTCTATAGCTATGTTAGTCATTACCAGTGGGTAAATCTCCGTTAATCACAGCTGATAATCATTGATTATCATTATTAACCACTATTAACCACTATTAACCATAGGAAAACCATATTATCACCATTTTTACATGGCCATCATCCACCATCCCCATGGTGCGTTCTGCGTGAGGATTTGGAAGTGCTGGTACAGCGCCGCTTCTCTGAAGCGGCGCCAAGGATCGAGATGAACCCCGCGATGATTCTGAGCGCATCCTTGGACGGTCTCCTGGACGTGGTTTTGGCTTGGGGGCATGGGTCAACACATGTCATTTTCCCATTCAACAACTATACTATATAAATATGTTATTTAAACTTATGTAATTAATGTATAATGATTATAATAAATATAAATTTTAAATATATCAATGTATCATGTTGCACATTATATATATGTATATATATATATGTGTGTGTACGTATCGTGGGAATAATACGTATTTATTTAACTACCATGATTTAATACGGGATTTACACAAACTTAGGACCATGTACGGATGTTAAATATTACGATGTATTACGGGGATGGGATTCATTTAGAAACAATGGTGACTTGTGATGAACCATGGTCCAAAATAAATGTAACGAAAGAAACATCGCAAACTGGCCGTTGTTGAAGCGCTGATTCAGGTTTAAGAAGATACTCCCTTTCAGATTTCCGCTTTTTGGAAATAGCAATATCAAACACTGCCAACCCAATCTACCCGAGGCTTTACAGAAACACATGTTGATCCAGCATGGTTGATCGTTTCTGTTTTGCGTTTTAACACCAGTTTTGGGGGGTTATATCCACCATATTGGGAACAAATCCCAACATGGATAGATATCCCACGAGATACCCATTGTGTTTCCCTCGAAATGGTTATTCGGGGATTTAGGATTTTTATAGACCCCTCGTAAAGTTGTTGTTTTTGACACGCAGCTATATTTGTACCCATTATATACCCACTAAATCATCCATTACCCGCTTATACCAAGTTCGAATGATAGTATGGTTATTTTATCATACTTTATACCCAGTCTATACAGCTATTGAATGCCAGATGATGAGAATCATCCATCTAATTATTTTGTAGACCCAAGTGTATAACCATTGTATACTGTAAAATATGTTCAGTATGTGTACATATATTGCATAGTGTATATGTATATATATATACAATTATATATATACACTATAATTTATATGATACATTATGTATATATATATATATATCAATCTATTGAATATGTATATATATATATATATTATACACATATAATGTCCATTGATGCAGCATTTCTCCCTACTGAAATCCTTGTCGCCCCAAGGCGAAGCCTTGCCAGCTTGGTTGACCTTCCAAGCGAGCAACATGACCTTCAGCGGCGAAGCACCACAGGTACAACTCAGTGGCCATGGTACATGGGGGATGGTGCCCACCCATTTCTGTTTGTGTTTAGAAAGTTCATTAACTATAGCGATAGCTATAGATAGGATAGAAAGGATAGATAGATAGATAGATAGATAGATAGACAGACAGATAGATAGATAGATAGATATCAAAACCACAGTTAACGCTGTGTCTGACAAGGTTCGTAAACCATATAGTTATAGATAGGTATAGAGCTGCCATAAAGCATAGTGAACGTCGTTACAGACCAACTTCGTTAGGGTAACGCTGAGATTTTGGGTGTACCCGCAACAGTGTCCGAATAGCCATACATGGTGGGCCGCTGGGAAATCTTTGAACTAAATGGGCCTTGGATTTCTGGGAACATGGTCGAACTAAATGGGGAGTTGTCCATTGCCATGTTTGATTACAAGAGGGTCAACGAAAACTGGAAATTAGGACTTCAATCAGCAAAAACGGTACTTGACCACCAGAATGGCGAATGTTTGATGATTTTTGACCACTCAAAATGGTGACTTTACATTGAAGAGATCAATTAATGAGCAGAAATGAAGATTCTATAAATCAAAATGGGGTTTAGCGAAAGAGAAGCGTTGGTGAAGCAGCAACAGTGTTGGGTTTTACCATCAAACATGGGGATTACACCGACGAAGCAACGACCCAACTTGACCAAGAACTGGATCTGGATCAAGTCTTATTGGTCCAGATTTTTTTTTGCTAACCCAATCTGGTTGGTGGTTTGGAACATGGCTGGATTATGACTTTCCATTCAGTTGGGAATGTCATCATCCCAACTGACTTTCACTCCATCATTTTTCAGAGGGGTAGGTCAACCACCAATCAGATCCAACCAGCAATGTTCGATGTTTTCATCTGGGTTCCATCACACCAAGATGTCGACCCCCTGCCAGGTCGGCGATTTCCAGGTGTCCATTCACGACAGCTTCTCCGACCGTGCAGTCATGACCTTCTTGTTACGTCGCTTGCCCGAGCGCGATGAAAAGGGCTCGGTGGCCACCCTTAATTCAGGGCCAACAAAGGTAAAGGACATGTGCAAATAATTTTGAAGTGGCAAATGTGTGGGGATTTGGATGTTTTTGGCTGATCGTTTTTTTACAAACTTGGGATGTTTCAAATCATTTTCTCCAAAGCTGCGGTTTTTTGTTCAAACCTCCAGAAAGTTATATTTGGGATTTGCCATTAAATACATTCCCATAAAATACATTAAACTACTATTAAAATCACTATCAAATCAGCATCAAATCCCCATGTAAATCATCATCAAATCCCAATGAAGTATCAGATACTTGGGCTTTGATATTTCATTTGATAAGTATCATAATTTGATCTCATTATATTCTCATAATATTCTCATAATATTCCCATTATATTCCAGTCATATACTTTTTCATCACCATCAAATCACATTCCTGTGTCTAAATTCCCAATTCTATAGATTTTTTATTCATGATGTTTTTTTGAGATCAGACAGCCTTTTGCGAGGTGCCCAACGTGCGCCAAACACTGGTACCCCGGCTTCAACCGAGCACGTCGAGTTGCCCGTGCCCGAAAGTGTCAGCAAGAAAGGCAGCTTGGCACCGCCCGAAAATCTGAGGTCAGAAAGTTGAGGGTTTGGAGTTTGAGGTTGGGAAATTGATGGAATTTCATTTCATGGGTGCGATGGGTTCTATATTTATATGAAGTTTGTGTTGGGAATGGAATCCAGCAGTTCAACAAAGGAACGGTGAAAGACTTGGTTCCTCTGTATACTCAAACATACTTAGGACATCAACTCGGATGTCAAAGCTCGAAGCTCCAAAGGGTGTAAGATACCAAAGGGGCCTGCAAAAAAGAGTTGCCAGAGTTGCCATGAGCGGCGCTACCCTGAAAGAAATTTGTGCTTGGCTCTGGCACTTATTTACCCCCAGAGTTGATATACGACAAACATTGGATCAATGGCCATGCAACAGGAACCGATTCATTGGAGGTACCTACCAAATATAAGGCCTATTTTTTAGGGCTATGTAAGGGGATACACCCCCAAAATATGGCCAGAAATGTGGTACCTTTATGTACTTCCATCTGTTGGATCCTGGAGATCTCCCATTGATTGGGTGATTGATCTCATCATATTCTCAGATAATATTCCCATTGTTTTCCAGTGATATACTTTTAAATCACCATCAAATCACCATTACTGTATCTAAATTCCCAATTATATAGGTTTATTCATGATGCTTTTTTGAGATCTGACAGCCTTTTGGGAGGTGCCCAACATTGGGTGATGATATGCTGATGATATGTTTTGATAACCTAGTGGGTTCATGTTGGCACCTTGGGCAATGTTGGGCCGTTGGGTGGAATTCCAAACTATGGATCCACAAGGGTTGACAAACTATGAAGACAAACTATGAAGACAATGAATGCCGCAAAGCCATCAACAGCATGAACCAGCAGCTTTTGCCAGTTGTGTTGGTTAAATACCAATTCTGGTTGGGTAAGAATAAATCCAGTTTTGCAACCCAACCGAGTCAGGGTTCCCAGGGTTCCGGGGTTCCATTCATTGAGTGCCTTGCATGAAGCACCAGTCCCAGATCCCTAGATTGAAACCTCGCAAGGGCTGCTGTTGGGAATCTGAAAATGCTGCGTAGCTAGCTAGTTCATACAGAAGAAGTGCTTGGTATATCTTGTTATAAGAATATCACCACCATGTATACCATCATGTATGACTAATTGAAACATACTGTGGATGGTTGCTAAATCCTGCACCAGTTGGTAACTATTAGGTAACTATGAAACTGAAACACTGTATAAATCATGGGATTAGGATGGATTGCAGTAGGTACTGTAAGAATTATGAAACGCTGTAAATATTACGAAATATCATACTGGTGCAGGATTCCGCAAGCATCCACAGTATCAATAGTCCGCCATGGTTCGGGGACCAAGGCCCTCAGACCTCTGAAGCAGGCCCTGTAGCAAGGCCCTTGGGCCCGCTGACGCTTGGGGTGGTTCCTGATCAAGCTGCAGAAGTGGCCAAACCATTTGGATTTCAGGTTCCAGAGGGTGTGACTACAGACACTGGTGTCAGTTTCACTGCATCTTTGGCGGATGGTTCGCCCTTACCAAGTTGGCTGAAGTTTGACACCAAACAGATGTCCTTTACAGGGACGCCTTCTCAGGAGACTGAACTTGGAATCTCTTTGAAGGGAACACATGCATCGTCTGGCCTGTCTGCCAAGACGGGTTTCTTGCTGAAAGTTGGTTCGGGCGGCTTCAAGCCTTTCATAGCAGGTCATTTGCCGGGAATCACTGCCACAGCGGGCCAACTGTTCACAGAGTCAATTCCACGGTCTGTCATTTCAGATCCTGACGGTGACATTTTGGCATTCAGTCTTTCTTCGGAAGAGGGCAAATTGCCAGATTGGCTTCACTTCGACCCCAACCTGATGATAGTTTCCGGGGTGCCTGACAAAGAGCAGCAGTTAGAACTTCGCGTTACAGGAAGGGACACCGATGGACACTCTGCGTCAACTCCACTGCAACTCCGAGTGCAAGAAGGTGCCTTGGATAGGTGATTGCAGAGCCACCTTTTTTTCCCGAAGTGCTTGATGGGAGAACTGCAGCTCAAGCAATGGTTCCGCGCTCATAGTCCATTCCCAGCTTTAAACAAAGTTTGCTTGTCCCTACAACCCTTGTTATCCCCTTTGCCTCTGCTCATATTGAGGTGTGAGCACAGACGTGCTTCAACCCACCCTTGGCGCGAGCTCTGCTGGGGACTCTGGTTCTGGTGGTTCTAGTGACGTCAGGGGCAGTAGCGCATCTAGATCGAGCAGTTCTGATGCTGACCAACCATCGGTGAAGGAACGGACTGGTCCTACTTCAACTGCAGCTGCTGTAACTTCTGAGCCGGCCGCGGAAAGTGCAAGCAACGGTGGTGGCTACTTGGGCTTTACTTGACATATTTGAACACTTCATGGACATGTATGGAGCGTTCGTATTTAAAAAAAAGAAAAACAATGGAAGAACCATCCAGAACCTTCAAATCCTGTCAGTGGTGGTAAATCAATAATAACCCACCATATGGTTATAGTTATGGTATGTTTTGATAAAATAATACAAACTTATGTGAAATTGGGGATGGATTACTATTACTTTACAAAAGTTACGAACATTAATCATATTAATTATATATAAACTATGTGCAGTTCCTTCTTGGTGGTTTTCAATGCAGATGACCAAAATTTTGAAGGGGACAGTGTTTCGTCACCAGCAGACATCTGCAGAATCAATCCTCAAAGACTTTTATGTGTTGGTGCAAATTATTGTTTCGTATGCTTATGTCAACGTAGATTTGTAAACGTTTTGACGATTGCTGTTGATGTAGCCTACTCAACTCAACTCGTACTTTTTTGGGCACCATCAAACTGTGCCTCATGTCACTTCTGTTGCTGGTTAGAACTCCGTAGTATGAACAAGCATTGTCTGCATGATGCTGCATTACTCCCTGATCAGAAGCCTAGGTGACACGACCTCTGGCACTAGCGGTGCCACTACAACAGATAGGTCTGCTTCAAGTGATTCCTTAGGCCCGCTGAGCCTTGGGGTGGTTCCTGATCAAACTGCAGAAGTGGCCAAACCATTTGGATTTCAGGTTCCAGAGGGTGTGACTACAGACACTGGTGTCAGTTTCACTGCATCTTTGGCAGATGGTTCGCCCTTACCAAGTTGGCTGAAGTTTGACACCAAACAGATGTCCTTTACAGGGACGCCTTCTCAGGAGACTGAACTTGGAATCTCTTTGAAGGGAACACATTCATCGTCTGGCCGATCTGCCAAGACGGGTTTCTTGCTGAAAGTTGGTTCTGGCGGCTTCAAGCCTTTCATAGCAGGTCATTTGCCGGGAATCACTGCCACAGCGGGCCAACTGTTCACAGAGTCAATTCCACGGTCTGTCATTTCAGATCCTGACGGTGACATTTTGGCATTCAGTCTTTCTTCGGAAGAGGGCAAATTGCCAGATTGGCTTCACTTCGACCCCAACCTGATGATAGTTTCCGGGGTGCCTGACAAAGAGCAGCAATTAGAACTTCGCGTTACAGGAAGGGACACCGATGGACACTCTGCGTCAACTCCACTGCAACTCCGAGTGCAAGAAGGTGCCTTGGATAGGTGATTGCAGAGCCATTGTTTTTCTCCTGAAGTGCTTGACAGGAGAACTGCAGCTCAAGCAATGGTTCCGCGTTCATAAACCATTCCCAGCTTTAAACAAAGTTTGCTTGTCCCTACAACCCTTGTTATCCCCTTTGCCTCTGCTCATATTGAGGTGTGAGCACAGACGTGCTTCAACCCACCCTTGGCGCGAGCTCTGCTGGGGACTCTGGTTCTGGCGGTTCTAGTTCAGGCACGGGCACTGATAGCGCATCTAGATCGAGCAGTTCTGATGCTGACCAACCATCGGTGAAGGAACGGACTGGTCCTACTTCAACTGCAGCTGCTGTAACTTCTGAGCCGGCCGCGGAAAGTGCAAGCAACGGTGGTGGCTACTTGGGCTTTACTTGACATATTTGAACGCTTCATGGACATGTATGGGGCGTTCGTATTTAAAAAAAGAAAAACAATGGAAGAACCATCCAGAACCTTCAAATCCTGTCAATGTTGGTAAATCAATAATAACCCACCATATGGTTATAGTTATGGTATGTTTTGATAAAATAATACAAACTTATGTGAAATTGGGGATGGATTACTATTACTTTACAAAAGTTACGAACATCAATCATATTAATTATATATAAACTATGTGCAGTTCCTTCTTGGTGGTTTTCAATGCAGATGACCAAAATTTTGAAGGGGACAGTGTTTCGTCACCAGCAGACATCTGCAGAATCAATCCTCAAAGACTTTTATGTGTTGGTGCAAATTATTCTTTCGTATGCTTATGTCAACGTAGATTTGTAAACGTTTTGACGATTGCTGTTGATGTAGCCTACTCAACTCAACTCGTACTTTTTTGGGCACCATCAAACTGTGCCTCATGTCACTTCTGTTGCTGGTTAGAACTCCGTAGTATGAACAAGCATTGTCTGCATGATGCTGCATTACTCCCTGATCAGAAGCCTAGGTGACACGACCTCTGGCACTAGCGGTGCAACTAGGTCGGATGGGTCCGCTTCAAGTGCTTCCTTGGGCCCGCTCAGCCTTGGGGTGGTTCCTGATCAAACTGCAGAAGTGGCCAAACCATTTGGATTTCAGGTTCCAGAGGGTGTGACTACAGACACTGGTGTCAGTTTCACGGCATCTTTGGCGGACGGTTCGCCCTTACCAAGTTGGCTGAAGTTTGACACCAAACAGATGTCGTTCACAGGGACGCCTTCTCAGGAGACTGAACTTGGAATCTCTTTGAAGGGAACACATGCATCGTCTGGCCGGTCTGCCAAGACGGGTTTCTTGCTGAAAGTTGGTTCGGGCGGCTTCAAGCCTTTCATAGCAGGTCATTTGCCGGGAATCACTGCCACAGCGGGTCAACTGTTCACGGAGTCAATTCCACGGTCTGTCATTTCAGATCCTGACGGTGACATCTTGGCATTCAGTCTTTCTTCGGAAGAGGGCAAATTGCCAGATTGGCTTCACTTCGACCCCAACCTGATGATAGTTTCCGGGGTGCCTGACAAAGAGCAGCAGTTAGAACTTAGCGTTACAGGAAGGGACACCGATGGACACTCTGCGTCAACTCCACTGCAACTCCAAGTGCAACAAGGTGCCTTGGATAGGTGATTGCAGAGCCACTGTTCTTCTCCCGAAGTGCTTGTCGGGAGAACTGCAGCTCAAGCAATGGTTCCGCGTTTATAAACCATGCCCAGCTTTAAACAAAGTTTGCTTGTCCCTACAACCCTTGTTATCCCCTTTGCCTCTGCTCATATTGAGGTGTGAGCACAGACGTGCTTCAACCCACCCTTGGCGCGAGCTCTGCTGGGAACTCTGGTTCTGGCGGTTCTAGGGAAGGCACGGGCACTGATAGCGCATCTAGATCGAGCAGTTCTGATGCTGACCAACCATCGGTGAAGGAACGGACTGGTCCTACTTCAACTGCAGCTGCTGTAACTTCTGAGCCGGCCGCGGAAAGTGCAAGCAACGGTGGTGGCTACTTGGGCTTTACTTGACATATTTGAACGCTTCATGGACATGTATGGGGCGTTCGTATTTAAAAAAAGAAAAACAATGGAAGAACCATCCAGAACCTTCAAATCCTGTCAATGTTGGTAAATCAATAATAACCCACCATATGGTTATAGTTATGGTATGTTTTGATAAAATAATACAAACTTATGTGAAATTGGGGATGGATTACTATTACTTTACAAAAGTTACGAACATCAATCATATTAATTATATATAAACTATGTGCAGTTCCTTCTTGGTGGTTTTCAATGCAGATGACCAAAATTTTGAAGGGGACAGTCTTTCGTCACCAGCAGACATCTGCAGAATCAATCCTCGAAGACTTTTATGTGTTGGTGCAAATTATTCTTTCGTATGCTTACGTCAAAGTAGATTGGTGTACATTTTGACGATTGCTGTTGATGTAGCCAACTCAACTCAACTCGTACTATTTTGGGCACCATCAAACTGTGCCTCATGTCACTTCTGTTGCTGGTTAGAACTCCGTAGTATGAACAAGCATTGTCTGCATGATGCTGCATTACTCCCTGATCAGAAGCCTAGGTGACACGACCTCTGGCACGAGCGGTGCCACTAGGTCGGATGGGTCCGCTTCAAGTGCTTCCTTGGGCCCGCTGAGCCTTGGGGTGGTTCCTGATCAAACTGCAGAAGTGGCCAAACCATTTGGATTTCAGGTTCCAGAGGGTGTGACTACAGACACTGGTGTCAGTTTCACTGCATCTTTGGCGGATGGTTCGCCCTTACCAAGTTGGCTGAAGTTTGACACCAAACAGATGTCGTTCACAGGGACGCCTTCTCAGGAGACTGAACTTGGAATCTCTTTGAAGGGAACACATGCATCGTCTGGCCGATCTGCCAAGACGGGTTTCTTGCTGAAAGTTGGTTCGGGCGGCTTCAAGCCTTTCATAGCAGGTCATTTGCCGGGAATCACTGCCACAGCGGGTCAACTGTTCACGGAGTCAATTCCACGGTCTGTCATTTCAGATCCTGACGGTGACATCTTGGCATTCAGTCTTTCTTCGGTAGAGGGCAAATTGCCAGAATGGCTTCACTTTGACCCCAACCTGATGATAGTTTCCGGGGTGCCTGACAAGGAGCAGAAGTTGGAACTTACCGTTACAGGAAGGGACACCGATGGACACTCTGCGTCAACTCCACTGCAACTCCAAGTGCAACAAGGTGCCTTGGATAGGTGATTGCAGAGCCACTGTTCTTCTCCCGAAGTGCTTGTCGGGAGAACTGCAGCTCAAGCAATGGTTCCGCGTTTATAAACCATGCCCAGCTTTAAACAAAGTTTGCTTGTCCCTACAACCCTTGTTATCCCCTTTGCCTCTGCTCATATTGAGGTGTGAGCACAGACGTGCTTCAACCCACCCTTGGCGCGAGCTCTGCTGGGAACTCTGGTTCTGGCGGTTCTAGGGAAGGCACGGGCACTGATAGCGCATCTAGATCGAGCGGTTCTGGTGCTGACCAACCATCGGTGAAGGAACGGACTGGTCCTACTTCAACTGCAGCTGCTGTAACTTCTGCGCCGGCCGCGGAAAGTGCAAGCAGTGGTGGTGGCTACTTGGGCTTCATTTTATGGTAAACTTGGGGATGGTTTTTCAACTGCTTTACAAAGTTTACTAACATCAATTCTATTGAAGTTCTTTCTTTCTTGGTGGTTTTGGATGCAGACTGACAAATGTTGAAGGTGGACAGTATTTTCCTCGCCAGCAGACATGTGCAGAAACAACCCTTGAAGTCACAGAAAGTGTGGTGCTGTTCATTCTTACATCACAGGAAGTGGGTGAAGCTTTTGGTGGTTACTGGTGATTTGTAGAAAAACTCATGCCTGCATGTTCTGGTCAAAATTCTCCTTACGTTTCTCGAAAACCGCAGTATGAACAAGCAGCGTCTGCATGATGCTGCATTACTCCCTGATCGGAAGCCTAGGTGACACGACCTCTGGCACTAGCGGTTCCACTACGTTGGATGGGTCTGCTTCAAGTGATTCCTTGGGCCCACTGAGCCTTGGGGTGGTTCCTGATCAAACTGCAGAAGTGGCCAAACCATTTGGATTTCAGGTTCCAGAGGGTGTGACTACAGACACTGGTGTCAGTTTCACTGCATCTTTGGCGGATGGTTCGCCCTTACCAAGTTGGCTGAAGTTTGACACCAAACAGATGTCCTTTACAGGGACGCCTTCTCAGGAGACTGAACTTGGAATCTCTTTGAAGGGAACACATTCATCGTCTGGCCGATCTGCCAAGACGGGTTTCTTGCTGAAAGTTGGTTCGGGCGGCTTCAAGCCTTTCATAGCAGGTCATTTGCCGGGAATCACTGCCACAGCGGGTCAACTGTTCACGGAGTCAATTCCACTGTCTGTCATTTCAGATCCTGACGGTGACATCTTGGCATTCAGTCTTTCTTCGGAAGCGGGCAAATTGCCAGATTGGCTTCACTTCGACCCCAACCTGATGATAGTTTCCGGGGTGCCTGACAAGGAGCAGAAGTTGGAACTTAGCGTTACAGGAAGGGACACCGATGGACACTCTGCGTCAACTCCACTGCAACTCCGAGTGCAAGAAAGTGCCTTGGACAGGTGATTGCAGCACTGCGCTTTTTGTCTTGGTACTGCTGCTGGTGCTGCTGTCGGCCAAAGTCAAGATCTTAATAGGGCCTATGATTTGTTTTTGTTTCTAGCAATATTATGATGCTTCCCAAGCCCCGGAGTGCCCAATATGGACAGAACCAATTAAATCACTTTAAAAGCCTGCTATTGTTTGCCTTGCTGTTAGTAGAAACCACAAGCAATGGTTCAACACCTGTACTTAAATTGGCATTGGTTGCTACTGGTTCCTGCAAAACATCGAACCGAGGTGAACGCGAATTTCATTCAGTTTCTGGTGCTGGCACTGCTTTGTCAGGACGAACAAGTTTCATGGGTGCTGTGTTGTTCTCGTTTTTTTGTTGGTAGACAAGGTGATGGAATTGTTCAACTATGTAACATTATGTAACTATGTCATGTAGTTTGCTTGTTTCTGTCTGTGTTGGTTATTTCCCCAAAATACATATATTGCTGGTCGGATTCCTTACAATCTATTCATAGTTTCTCCATTTTGCAGTTTCATTCCTCGCTGTCGCTGTCACCATTTTTTTTGCACTTTGTTTCTGATAGGTTGTTGCAAGCTCATGACTTTTCATCATACTCTAGATCTTGCGTGACAATATGTTTGGGTCCAGTGTGCCTTAATCGCAAAACAGTTTTTGTTAGAAACATCTGGCATTCTGCAGGTTTACTTGGATCATACCACTTAGTAAGTGGTTAAATGATATATGATAACCTTGCCCAACAAGTGCCTTGACAGGGGTTTACTCTATATGATATTTGTCAATGGATTAAACCTTGATTTGGTAGCTTGATACTTTCATATGGTGACACATGTTCATACTATAAATTGGTGAACAAAATAAATGAGCATGTCCTAAAATGGGGGTACCCCTAAGTCATCCATTTTATTGGGATTTTCCATGATCGACTATCTATTTTGGGGTATCCCGATTTATGAAAAACCCCAAAAAGAAAACGACATGTAGGTTATAGACTGGCTATGCCAATGGGCGCCCCACATATCAACGGCTTCTCGAACTGCACAGGAGCGGCCACACCGCTGGAAGGGTTGCAGCTTCCACGCGGAAAGTCTGTCACCGTGGAAGGCAAGGGGCCAGTATCTGCGTTTAAGGTGGTTTCAAAGTCTTGCCACAACGCCCCAAAAAAGATACAACAGTGGGAAATCTGGACATTATGGAAAGAACATCGGGGGGTGACATTTAACCATTGAACCTATACCATCCAGGAAACGTTGTTCTGTTTTTCTCTGATTCTTTTTGGTGAGTACAATCGATGATGCTGGATGTTGGTTAAACATATTGAATGAAATTATCAGACGTCCAATATTGATCAATTGAATGGACAAGTGGAAAATTGTTCGGTTTGTTGCCAATGGCTTACTTCCAGAATCTTCCCGGTGGTGATGTAAATTGAAGGTAGGGGAATGCAACGAACGAGAAAAAGGGACATAACAGCATCCACACATTAGTACTTAGTACGTATATAATTATAGAAATATGATTATTTATTTTTTACATACAACTGACATGAATATATATATATATATTATTTAGCATTTGTTCTTTGATTATGTTTCAAGTTAACGTTGCATGGCAAGTCTTGGTCAGTATTATAGATACACATGATTGGTGGTTCTAGACAATGTTTTCAATTCTCTTAAAGACCATGGTCTTGAGTTGGGCAAGATCTTTGCAATGCGTTGAAACTATTAGTGTTCACTCATTTCAAGGATGGTGAAGATCTGGCAGATGCCATCCTTATTTGCATGTTCTTATAGAAAAGGGCATCAACGTGCGACCTGCACTCGAGCGAACTCTAGGTTTTTGTTGACACTTTACTAATGGATCTTAATTGATATTACCCTCTGGTTATTTAACATAGCCATGGAACATGGCCCATTTATAGATGGTTTACCTATTAAAAATGGTGATTTTGCATGGCTATGTTAAATAACCAGTTGGTACTTGTAGTATACCCTTTTGTTCCAAACCTCACATTTGGACGTTTTCTTTGCCCGTGGACAAAGAACGACATGCAGAATGTACTTCAGGGCCTCTGGCCAAGCTCAGAGGTTATCCCAGTCCCACGGTTGCGAGCTGGTGGTTGATACACCTGGTTGTAAATCATACCGGGTGGTGCCCCCTACCTAGCTAAGTTGGTTTACAAGCAAGATAACAACGGTTCATGGTAGATACACAGTATCTATGATATATAGTATTCAGTATTTTGGGGGTCGTTAAACCAACTTACAGCTGGGGCACCACCTTGTACTTCATGAACCCCCCGCGTTTGGATACGCAGCTGGTACGTCCTATACCGCAGCTGCATGGGATTCCACCACTTTAGGCGGTGACAGTGGTGCATTGGATGCTGCAGTGCCTACGGTGAAAACGGCGACGGAGAGTGGAGCTGGCTTCCCGGCCTGTGGCTGTCATAAACCTACCACAACTGGGAGATGCTGAAAAGAACAATCCATAAAACTGGTCAGTTTAAGGATGCTTTACAAATCATGTTTTTTCCTATGTTTTGTGTGCGTTAATGCGTTGGACTTGTTGCATGTGGCGCTGTGTGGCGCTGTGTGGCGCTGTGGATTCAGGTGCCGCGCTTCGGCCTTCACTTGGCAGCGAGTCGAAAGTTTCCAGGCCTGGCCCAGCGCCCGCAAGTGCTTCAGCCAGCGTGGCCACAGAGAGTGGAGAACACAGCGGCTTGGCCGAAATAGCAAAGCAGTCATACCCATATGCTCCATGGTGCTGGAGATTTCCCAACATTTGCCCGAACAAAATCAACCAAATGTAGGTAAATATACCATGGATGGAGCATATGGGATACATATCCCCTTCCCTATGATAATTTGATGTAGCGAAAATCACAATGTTTTAAAAGGTAAAGGTAATCTAAGAGAACCAAAAACCCTCCAGTAATGGGCCGTTTTCCATGGCTATGTTAAGTAACCAGAGGGTAAGTCTTAAATTGTTAATGTATTGGTACAGTCTCTTAGCGTCAGGCACTTACTGTCCCAGATGCTCCGTGCATGGAAGACCTACCAGGTAACAACAAATGAACACATCAAAAGATAAATGAATGAACGAACGAATGAGAACTAACAAATCATGTTTTTTTCCTATGTTTTGTGTGCGTTAATGCGTTGGACTTGTTGCATGTGGCGCTGTGTGGCGCTGTGTGGCGCTGTGGATTCAGGTGCCGCGCTTCGGCCTTCACTTGGCAGCGAGTCGAAAGTTTCCAGGCCTGGCCCAGCGCCCGCAAGTGCTTCAGCCAGCGTGGCCACAGAGAGTGGAGAACACAGCGGCTTGGCCGAAATAGCAAAGCAGCCATACCCATATGCTCCATGGTGCTGGAGATTTCCCAACATTTGCCCGAACAAAATCAACCAAATGTAGGTAAATATACCATGCATGGAGCATATGGGATACATATCCCCTTCCCTATGATAATTTGATGTAGCGAAAATCACAATGTTTTAAAAGGTAAAGGTAATCTAAGAGAACCAAAAACCCTCCATTAATGGGCCGTTTTCCATGGCTATGTTAAGTAACCAGAGGGTAAGTCTTAAATTGTTAATGTATTGGTACAGTCTCTTAGCGTCAGGCACTTACTGTCCCAGATGCTCCGTGCATGGAAGGCCTACCAGGTAACAACAAATGAACACATCAAAAGATCAATGAATGAACGAACGAATGAGAACTAACAAATCATGTTTTTTCCTATGTTTTGTGTGCGTTAATGCGTTGGACTTGTTGCATGTGGCGCTGTGTGGCGCTGTGTGGCGCTGTGGATTCAGGTGCCGCGCTTCGGCCTTCACTTGGCAGCGAGTCGAAAGTTTCCAGGCCTGGCCCAGCGCCCGCAAGTGCTTCAGCCAGCGTGGCCACAGAGAGTGGAGAACACAGCGGCTTGGCCGAAATAGCAAAGCAGCCATACCCATATGCTCCATGGTGCTGGAATATTTCCCAACATTTGCCCGAACAAAATCAACCAAATGTAGGTAAATATATACATGGAGCATATGGGATACATATCCCCTTCCCTCTGATAATTTGATGTAGCGAAAATCACAATGTTTTAAAAGGTAAAGGTAATCTAAGAGAACCAAAAACCCTCCATTAATGGGCCGTTTTCCATGGCTATGTTAAGTAACCAGAGGGTAAGTCTTAAATTGTTAATGTATTGGTACAGTCTCTTAGCGTCAGGCACTTACTGTCCCAGATGCTCCGTGCATGGAAGACCTACCAGGTAACAACAAATGAACACATCAGATAAATGAATGAACGAACGAATGAGAACTAACAAATCATGTTTTTTCCTATGTTTTGTGTGCGTTAATGCGTTGGACTTGTTGCATGTGGCGCTGTGTGGCGCTGTGTGGCGCTGTGGATTCAGGTGCCGCGCTTCGGCCTTCACTTGGCAGCGAGTCGAAAGTTTCCAGGCCTGGCCCAGCGCCCGCAAGTGCTTCAGCCAGCGTGGCCACAGAGAGTGGAGAACACAGCGGCTTGGCCGAAATAGCAAAGCAGCCATACCCATATGCTCCATGGTGCTGGAGATTTCCCAACATTTGCCCGAACAAAATCAACCAAATGTAGGTAAATATACCATGCATGGAGCATATGGGATACATATCCCCTTCCCTATGATAATTTGATGTAGCGAAAATCACAATGTTTTAAAAGGTAAAGGTAATCTAAGAGAACCAAAAACCCTCCACTAATGGACCGTTTTCCATGGCTATGTTAAGTAACCAGAGGGTAAGTCTTAAATTGTTAATGTATTGGTACAGTCTCTTAGCGTCAGGCACTTACTGTCCCAGATGCTCCGTGCATGGAAGACCTACCAGGTAACAACAAATGAACACATCAAAAGATAAATGAATGAACGAACGAATGAGAACTAACAAATATATATATATACACAAGCAAACCACATGTACGTATATTCGATTTACTGGGGAATCGGTGCTTCATGGCACCATTTTGATAAACAACTCAGGCTCAGAAGGCCCGACATCTGGAACTTCAAGCGCTTCCTTGGGCCCACTGAGCCTTGGGGTGGTTCCTGATCAAACTGCAGAAGTGGCCAAACCATTTGGATTTCAGGTTCCAGAGGGTGTGACTACAGACACTGGTGTCAGTTTCACTGCATCTTTGGCGGATGGTTCGCCCTTACCAAGTTGGCTGAAGTTTGACACCAAACAGATGTCGTTCACAGGGACGCCTTCTCAGGAGACTGAACTTGGAATCTCTTTGAAGGGAACACATTCATCGTCTGGCCGATCTGCCAAGACGGGTTTCTTGCTGAAAGTTGGTTCGGGCGGCTTCAAGCCTTTCATAGCAGGTCATTTGCCGGGAATCACTGCCACAGCGGGTCAACTGTTCACGGAGTCAATTCCACGGTCTGTCATTTCAGATCCTGACGGTGACATCTTGGCATTCAGTCTTTCTTCGGAAGAGGGCAAATTGCCAGATTGGCTTCACTTTGACCCCAACCTGATAATAGTTTCCGGGGTGCCTGACAAGGAGCAGAAGTTAGAACTTAGCGTTACAGGAAGGGACACCGATGGACACTCTGCGTCAACTCCACTGCAACTCCGAGTGCAAGAAGGTGCCTTGGATATGTGATTGCAGAGCCAATGTTTCTTCATAATACATTTTTTTTTCTCCTGCCATGTCTTCTTGCTTGCTCCATGACATTTGACCATATTTCACCGGGACGTGCAGCTACTTTCAGGTGTCGCGGCAGCTTCCAACAAAACTGCACCTGGGTGTGATTTGCGGGGAGGGCCAAAGATGGGATGGTCAGTCCAGCAAATGAAAAAAAAACACACGGATTGTGTTTGTGTTTTTTAACCCGCGGCCAATTCAACGTTTGTTCTCTCCTCAGTTTGTCTCCTGTGTCCAACAATGCGGTACTTGTTTTGATGTTGTTAGCGGCTAGGGGATTGAATGATTGCCGCATCGTATGATATGTTTCTCTGCGCCAAATTTCCAGGTCAAATATCCATCATATGTACACACGTTTGTAGATCATGCTCCTGGTGAAACCTTTTTCTTGGTATATCTATGTGACTTTACCATGGTGGGTTTGTTTGACCCCCTAAATCCACCGGTCTGTCACCATTATTTTTAAAAGCCCATCATGGGGCATGGAGTCCATTAAAATCACGCGGTGAATCGTTGGTCTCCAAGGCGCTTCCAGCGCCGTTGCTTCAGGGACAGATCCCTGACGTCATCGCCGTCGTCAACCGTCCCATGACGTCGCTGGGCAGCGGTGGCCGTTGACGTTGTGAAGCCGGCCCGGTGACTTTTTCGGGGTTTAGGATGTAAGGTTGGACAGGGTACATACATCCCTGCGGAATTTTTTGTTTCAAAAATAATATGGTTTTTGTAGGCGAAATCAATTTTAACAAGACCACTGTTTATGAATTATTTTTGCCCATGTAGGGAATGAAATTCAACTTCCGCGCAGTTCGTGAGATCCCCTCAGGAAAACCATCCGCGACTCCGTGGTCCAGTCGCAGGACAGATCGCACGGTGTGGGGCAACCCCCAGTTGAAAGTTAGTTATATAGGCCATCAAACTGCAGTCAGCTGTATAGATTGTTTTTGAGTACAGCTATATGACATATCTGTTAGTTACGTGGACCTTTTTAATGTTTTACATGCATTATATGCATGTGTATCTGTGCACATATACACACCACAAGTCATATATAGCCTAATTACAAGCCATATATTTATATATATATGATTATATATGTATATATGATATATGTTTACTTTTATACAAGTATGTATATGTATACTGTATACAGATATGAACTAGAGGCCCTGCAGTGTTGTACTGTAAGAGTCTAAACACACCCACATTCTAAGTACGTGTGCTCAGTCAGTCTTGGGCTACCCAGTGTTGACACCATTGACAAACCCCAAAGCAATTGGACAACATCGGGCGATATTTTTTGCCTACGGTTGTCAACTCCATCTGACTTTGAAGAAAGTTTGATGGCCTTTTCCCGGTACCCATTGGGATTGTTCCAGGCATGAGTTACATACACATTCGAATGTGTTTTCGGCAGCACACATGTGAAGGCATTCCCAACCGCAAACTGGTGTTGATGGGAAATCGCTAGTGCTGTACCACAGGCCGTCACAAGTCCACTCCATGTTGTAGCCCATAAATCCGGCATGTTTAAATGTTAACTTGCACGAGCTAGTGCCGAAATAGAATATGCGTTTTCCAGGTGTTCTGGAACTTGCCAGGTTTGAGATTGCAATCGTATGTGCGTCGGACAAGGATCAGCTACATGTTGCCAAATCTTTGCCTATAGGAAGTTATATTCCTGTATGTAGCATAGCCATAGCTCAGATACCTCAAAATCAGGACAAAAAACAATATTGAATTTATTTTCCAAGCAAAACATATTCGTTACTTTATGATCAGGGAATGATGCTCACATGATTGATTATTCATGTAGAGCTGCCAGTGCCACGGCATAAAGGCTCAAACTAAGAGCCTACGATGGAGAGGAATATATATAACTATATATACATACATATCACCATTGTTTTGTGTTTTTAGGTGTTGTTGTTCATGCGTCTTTTCCCTATAAAGGGGCATCTCAATATCAAGAAAAAGGAAGGACAATCTCAGTTCTGACTCTGGTTGGCCTTACATTCATTGCATGAAAGCTTCCAAATTATAAATCCCACGCAAGAAAAAACACCTATTCATATTCCAGTGGCGAACAAAAAAAAACAAAAGCACACAAATGAGATTTCTACATGTAAAAGTGTGATGTATCCATTCTTTTGAAGAAAAAATGATAGAGATATCCCTTATACCCCTGGGCAATCCAACCACAAGAATGAACAAATACCCTTCTAAAAAAGGGACATCTCCATTCTGAATGCATATGGTTTCATTCTTTGGGAAAGGATGTAAACCATCCAGAGTTCCACAGACAAAAAACAGATTGGAAATTAAAAATGTCCGCAACAATTTCCATTCAAAACGGTGGTTTCTCCATTCAGAATGGAGAACGGAGAAGTCTCCATTTAGAACGGAGAATTCTCCATTCAGAGGGATTTCTCCATTCTGAATGGAGAAAACGCTTCGGAAAACACTAATATATAGATTTTTAAAAAAAGAAAGGTTCGAAACGCTTCTGAAAAAATTTGAATGGAGAAATCTCCATTCTAAATGGAGATTTCCCCATTCTGAATGGGAAAATGCTCTGGAAAAAAAAAGAGAGACAAATTTCAAAAAAAGGTTCGAAACGCTTCTGAAAAAGATTGAATGGAGAAATCTCCATTCTGAATGGAGATTTCTCCATTCTGAATTGAGAAAATGCTCTGGAAAAAAGAGAGATACATTTCAAAAAAAAGGTTCGAAACGCTTCTAAAAAAGTTTGAATGGAGAAATTTCCATTCAGAATGGAGATTTCTCCATTCTGAATGGAGAAAATGCTTTGGAAAAAAAAGAGAGATGCATGTCAAAAAAAAGTTCGAAACGCTTCTGAAAAAAATTGAATGGAGAAATCTCCATTCTAAATGGAGATTTCTCTATTCTGAATGGAGAAAATGCTCTGGAAAAAAAAGAGAGACAAATTTCAAAAAAAGGTTCGAAACGCTTCTGAAAAAGATTGAATGGAGAAAATGCTCTGGAAAAAAAAGAGAGACAAATTTAAAAAAAAAAGGTTCGAAACGCTTCTAAAAAAGTTTGAATGGAGAAATCTCCATTCAGAATGGAGATTTCTCCATTCTAAATGGAGAAAATTATTTGTGGGTGGAGTTTGTTTTTTTTAAATCAAAACACTTCTGAAAAAATGAATGGAGGAATCTTCATTCAGAATGGAGATTTCTCCATTCTGAATGGAGAAAATTCTCTGTAGATATTTTTTTTAAAGTTCAAAACACGTCTGAAAAAAATGAATGGAGAAATCTCCATTCAGAATGGAGATTTCTCCATTCTGAATGGAGAAAATTATTTGTGGAGTTTGTTTTTCAAAAAAAAAGTTCAAAACACTTCTGAAAAAAATTGAATGGATAAAATTCTCTGTAGAGATTTTTTTTTTAAAGTTCAAACCACTTCTGAAAGAAAATTGAATGGAGAAATCTCCATTCAGAATGGAGATTTTTCCGATGTTGAATGGAGAAAATTATTTGTGGAGTTTGTTTTTCAAAAAAAATCAAAACGCTTCTGAAAAAAAATAATGGAGACAATTCCCTGTAGATGTTTTTTTCAAAAAAAAATCAAAAACGCTTCTGAAAAACATTTGAATGGAGAAATCTCCATTCAGAATGGAGATTTCTCAATTTTAAATGGAGAAAAAAAAATCTGTAGCGATTTTTTTTCAAAAGAAAATTCAAAACGCTTCTGAAAAAAATTGAATGGAGAAATCTCCATTCAGAATGGAGAAATCTGCATTTATTTTTTTGAGAAGCGTTTTTCATTTGCAATTTCATATTTTGCAAAAAAAAATGGTGAAAACGCTTTTCAACAAAAGTGAATGGAGATTTCTCCATTCTGAATGGAGATTTCTCCATTCTGAATGGAGTAAAGTTTCTGGAACACAATTTGCAGATAATTTTCAAAAAAAAAGTTGAAAACGCGTCTGAAAAATTTGAACGGAGAAATCTCCATTCACTTTTTTTTTGAGAAGCGTTTCGCATCAGTTTTTTCAAAAAAAGAAACGTTTTTTACTTCATAAGTAGTTGAAAAACGCTTATTTTTTTTTTTGAATGGAGATGATGTCTCAATATTTTTTTTTTGCCTGGCAGATCGGAAATAAACAAAAAAAACACAAATTATTCATTCTTCTCCATTCAGAATGGAGAAATCTCCATTCTGAATGGAGATTTTCTCCATTCATTCTTTTTCAGAAGCGTTTTGAACCTTTTTTTGAAAAAAATCTCAACAGAGAATTTTCTCCATTTAAAATGGAGAAATCTCCATTCTGAATGGAGATTTCTCCATTCAAATGTTTTTCAGAAGCGTTTCGAACTTTTTTTTGAAAAAATATCTACAGGGAATTTTCTCCATTTAAAATGGAGATTTCTCCATTCATTTTTTTCAGAAGCGTTTTGAACTTTTTTTTTTGAAAAACAAACTCCACTGATAATTTTCTCCATTCAGAATGGAGAAATCTCCATTCTGAATGGAGATTTTCTCCATTTCTTTTTTTTTCAGAAGCGTTTTGAACTTTTTTTTGAAAAAAATCTCAACAGAGAATTTTCTCCATTTAAAATGAAGAAATCTCCATTCTGAATGGAGATTTCTCCATTCAAATGTTGTTCAGAAGCGTTTGGAACTTTTTTTGAAAAAAATCTCAACAGATAATTTTCTCCATTTAAAAAGATAAAATGGAGAAATCTCCATTCTGAATGGAGATTTCTCCATTCAAATGTTTTTCAGAAGCGTTTCGAACTTTTTTTGTGAAAAACAAACCCCACAGATAGTTTTCTCCATTCAGAATGGAGAAATCTCCATTCTGAATGGGGATTTCTCCATTCATTTTTTTCAGACGTGTTTTGAACTTTTTTTTGAAAAAAAAACTCTACAGAGAGTTTTCTCCGTTCAGAATGGAGAAATCTCCATTCTGAATGGAGATTTCTCCATTC